CGATTGTTTCAAAGTTATATCGATTAAAATACTGCCAAAACACTTCTCTGAACATTTTAAGTGATTTTAATTGGTTATTTCGAAGCTGTATCAGTTAAAATACTGACAGAAGGTTTTCAAAACTTTCTTTAATGAAAACAATCGGTTATTTCAAATTTATATCAGTTAAAACCTTGTTATAAAATTGATAAGAACATTTTAGTTGATAAAGCTTATATGCTATTAGTTAAAAATAGTTAATTCAAAAGCTTTTATCAAAATATTTTGTTTTTAACTGTTTAAACGTTTTTAGAGGCATTTTGCAAAATCTTTTAAGTGAAGAAACCTCATGCAGTAGAAAAGATAAAAATGATTATACCTAAGCAGAGCTGCAGACACACTAATCCCTCTACTCTTTTATCTAAGTGACTTTTGACTGCCACAAAGTTACATTTGACTTCATTCTTGACTTCATCAAATCAACAAGATCTTTGCTAGAGTATTTCAATAAGATCTTCATCACTTTCACAAGTTTCTACTTCTATATTTGGTACTGTTATGTTGTCAGATTTCTTAATTTTTCATGTTATTTTCGTTTCCAATTTTCATGTAAATCTTGTTTCTATTCAAAATTGATCCAAACCTTGTATTGTCATATCTTTTTTTAATCTAACTCTTGTGTTATTTTGCAACAAACCTCCTAGAGGATGAATGGTTCGGCTAACTTGCACCAAGAATTGTATGTGCTAAATCTGTCTCACTCTTATCACAACCATCATCCTATTTCTGCTCATACCACTACTACCAAACCCAAAGATATTTCTCTTTGGCATCATAGATTAGGTCATGTCTCTGACTCTATTTTTCATATTATTTTCCAACAATATTCTTTTATCACTTACTCTATAAATCCCTCTTCTTGTGACATTTGTCATTTTGCTAAACAACGCAAATTTCCTCATCATAGTAGTGGAACATAGCACATAAAATTTTTGACATCATATGGAGACATATGGGGACCATATTTTGTACCTTTTAATTGTGGTTACAAATATTTTCTCACTTTAGTTGATGATTACTAACGTTTTACCTGGATTAAATTTATGAAATCCAAATCTGAAACCCGCATACATTTAATGCATTTCATTACATTGATTGAAACTCAATTTCAAGAACTCAAATGTTTTAAAGTGATAATGGAGTATAATTTTTATTAACTGATTTCTTTTCATCCAAAGGTATTCTTCGTCAAAGATCTTGTGTTGAAACGCCTCAACAAAAAAGTGTTGTTGAATGCAAACATCAACGTCTTTTAAATGTAGCTCGAGCCTTGTTTTACCAAGTTCAACTACCTCACATCTTTTAGCCTTATGTTGTTCAACAAGTTGTTCATATCATTAATATACTGCCTACTCTATTATTTCATTTTAAATGTCCTTATGCAGTGTTATATGATAAACCACCTAGCATGATCCATTTAAAGGTTTTTTGTTGTCTTGTTTATGTCACTATGCTTCAAAATCACAAAACTAAATTTCAGCCCCGCAGCGAAGCTGTTTTCTTAGGATATAGGGAAGGTACTAAAGACTATGTTCTGTATGATCTCCATACCCATCAAATTTTTCTTTCAAGAAATGTCATTCTTTATGAAACTGTGTTTCCTTTTCATTCCTCCACCACTCCTTTCTCAACTTCTTCTATTTTTCCTCTACTATCCTATATATCATCTCCTGCAAATATCTTATCATGGCTTGAGCCGATTCATCACCCTCTTGTTACAAACATTCTATATACTATAAATTATAACCAGAACCTTAGTTCTCATGTCCCGCCTTCTCCACATATTAGACACTCTACCCGATCTCGCAGACCATACCTCTTACCTAACAGATTTTCCTTCTCATTATGCGATTGTTTCTAATAGTTTCACACATCCTCTTAAGGGTACTTGTTTGCATCCCTTATCCTCAGTTCTTGATTATTCCAAATGCAATTCCTCTTATAAATTTTTGTTTTGTTTTGTTATTACTAACATTTTTTAATCTACTACTTTCTCCCAAGCATCTAAATTGTATTGTTGGCAAAAGGCTATGAATGTTGAGTTACAGGCTTTACAACAAAATAACACCTAGTTTATTGTTGATCTCTCACAAGAAAAGAGTCTCATTGGTTATAAATGGTTTTACAATGTTAAATATCATGCAGATAATACTGTTAATAGATACAAAGCTCGCTTAGTGGCCAAGGGCTACACTCAGTTAGAAGAAGTGGATTATTTTGACATATTCTCTCCAGTTGCCAAGATCACCATTGACCCTGTTCTTCTAGTTATAACAGTAGTTAAAGGGTGTTTTTTGCATCAGCTTGATGTGAATAATGTTTTTCTTCATAGAGAGTTTCATGATGAAGTCTATAAGGTCCCTCCACCTGGTTTTCTTCCATCGGGTCCTTCTTAAGTTTGCAAACCCATACAATGACACAATATTCTTTCTATCACTCTTTTATCTCTCAACTACAAACAATCTTCAATTGATTAATCTTTGTTTGTCAAAGTTACTTCCACTTCTTTCACAACTTTATTAGTTTACGTGGATGGTAGTGTCTTAACTGGTGATGATGTGGACGAAATTAATTATGTCAAATGTGTCTTGGATACTAAATTCAAGATTAAAGATCTTGGTGCTCTTTGTTATATTTTGGAATTAGAAATTGCACGATCCAATTCCGACATTCACATGAATCAAGGTAAATACACTCTTGAACTTCTTGATGATGGTGGTTTACTTGGTTCCAAACATGCTACCACTCTGATCCCTTTACTAAACTTCAGGCTAATCATGGACAACCATATTCTGATAATGTTACTTATCGTAGATTAGTCAGTAAATTATTCTATCTCACCCTGACATTGTCTTTTCTGTCCAGTAGTTTAGTCAATTAATGGCTCAGCCTATTGTTGTTCACTATAAAGCTGTCATTCGGGTTCTTAGATACTTTAAAAGTTCACCTACCTAAAGGTTATTTTTCTCTGTCTCTACTGACATTCATCTTTCTGCTTTTTCTGCTCCGGACTGGGCCTGTTGTTTGGACATTCACCGCTCAATTATTGGATTTTGTGTTTTTCTTGGTTCTTCCTTGATTTCCTAGAAATCCAAGAAGTAATCTACTATCTCTCGTTCATCCTTCGAAGCAGAATATTGAGCATTAGTCAACCTCACCTATGAGATTCAATGGTTGCATTATCTTTTCCGTGATCTTCATGTTTCATTGGGTCCTACTACAGTCTATTATGACAATCAATCTGTCATTTACTTAACTCATAATCCTGTATTTCATGAGCGCACTAAACACATCGAGATCGATTGCCATGTGGTTCGTGAAAAAATTCAACAAAGCCTAATTCATTTTTTTCCTGTTTTGTTTTCCAACTAGTTTGTGGATATTTTTACTAAACATCATCATACAACTTTTGACAATTCTATATCCAAGTTGGGTCTTTGTGATATCCACCGTCCAACGTGAGAAGGTATTAACATAATTATTTTTCTATAACAAATATTATTTTTCCTCTTTTATATTATTTTTAGTTATGACATATTCTTTCATTTTTATTCTACGGAGTACACTATGCTTGTATTCCTTTTTAGAGTGTGAAATTTGAATAAAAACAACGTAAGATCTCTTTCATCTCTTACCTATTAAAACTACCAAATAACTTGCAAAGGTTTTCACATAACTCCTTAAACTTAGAAGTTTCAAAAGTTGTATATCCAAACTTAATATGATAAACATTCATACTTCAATTCGAGGAAGACTATTAAAATTGGTTTTTTTGCCTGTTTATAATTTCCTTTTTTTCAGAAATTATATATATATATATATATATATATATATATATATATATATATATATATATATATATATTACTTTTGTATAAAAACATAACTGAATAGACTTTCATGCAATAAGACCTGTGTTTTCTCTCTCTTCCTAATTCATAAACTCTAACCGTATGAGTCATAATTATTTACAACCTAGGAAATGTATTTAGAAAAATTAAAGAAAATTTAGTAAGTTTTGAAGTGGTTTAGGAGTTTTATTTAAGCTCTTATTAAATATATAATTTATATGTTTATCATATTTGTACACCAACTCTTCTATATAAATGATTAAATATATTATATATTTTTAAAAATATAATTATATGAATATTTTTGAAATAATTGAAATACGTTAAAAATAGGTTATTTTTATAAGTTAATTTTATAAATATTCATAATTTAAATTATAAGATTATCGAATATTTGCATAGATCATATAATATAAAAAAATTATTCTTCAAATTTTATTTATTTTATTTTAAATTTAGTAAGTTCATTTTGTTATTAAAAATAGAAATAGGTGATAACAAAATATAAATAGATTGATCAATCCATTTGATGGGCTAAATGATATGTGTTTACGAGACATATTAGCCATCAAATATTTGTTGTGTTATATTAAGAAGATATTGAAAATTTTAAATATATTATATGAGAAAAAAATAGTTTAGATTTAAATTGGATTTAATGGACATAATATTCAATTATTTTATTATATTTAAAAAAATTATGGAAAAAATGATGGTAGATTACATTTTGTGTTAAAATTATTATAATCAATAGTATTTTTTATTAACAAAAAATATAAAAGTAATAACAATACTCAAAGTGTATATGGACATTGAACACTAAATGTCTCATTTGAATTTCTTTAAAAAAATAAAAATAAAAATGGAAGGAAATAATCCATATAAAATTCCAGTTTCCAAAACGACGAGTCTGGCATGTTCTTCACACCATTAAGCATCACTTCAAAGACCATCACCTTCATCACTTACCACACAATAAGCCACAAAACAGCAACAAAATGGGTCCCTTCTCTTCCATTGGCTTTGACCACTGATGCCTTTTACTGATCTATTATATTATTATACATCTTCTTCATACCCTTTTGAAATTTGTGAATTGTGAATTGTGTTGATGGCTTCTTCTTCTTCTTTGGTTGTTGTTGGGCCTCTTAACCTCACTCCACAGAATGGTTACAAAGTGTGGGAAGATCCTTCTTTCATCAAGTGGAGGAAAAGGGATCCTCATGTCACCTTGCATTGCCATGATTCTCTAGAAGGTCTCACACCCATCAACAACTTTTTCAGCTTTCTGTTTACTGGGAGTGATTCTATACTAAAATGGGTTCATGTCTATGTTTTGTCTTTTCTAGATAAACAGAAACACATTGGTTGTATTCTGGAAGTTCGTATTTTTTTAGTTGCTCTTTTCGAGAAAATTTCCTTTTTTAAAAGATGTTATTCCATTCATCAGAGTCTTCTATTCTAATTTTCATTGGGGATTGATAAATGGTTGAATCATTTCAGCTGAATGAAATGATTTGAGAAAATGAAGTGAGGATTGTATATTTTAATAGTTCATTTTTTTAGGGTATTTGCAACAAAATTGCCCCTCTTTTTTAATTTATTCTATTCGTTCTTTTATTAGGGTTGATAAATGGCTTCTAAATGTCAGCTGAATGAAATTATTTAAGTAAACTAAGTGTAAGTATATACTAATGGCCTCTTATATTAAGTATTGTTATGAACTTAATCAATGGTCATTGCACAGGAAAGAAGTCCAAAGCAGTGTTTATATTTTTTGAGTAGATGCTCACTGCGAAAAAATTGTAGAGGATACTATATGAGTTTATATTGTTATGGATTTCCTTCTTTTTTATTTTGTCATAAATTATGGGTAATCTAGAATTTTGTGATGTGTAGGATCTCTCAAATATTGGTATCAACGCAACAAAGTGGATTTTTTGGTTGCCCAGTCTGCTATTTGGAATGATGATGCTGTTCAGGGGTCTCTTGATTGTGCTACATTTTGGGTCAAAGATTTGCCTTTTGTTAAGTCCTTGTCTGGATATTGGAAGTTTTACATTGCTGACAGGCCCAACAATGTCCCTACTAACTTTTATGAAAGTGAGTTTCACGATTCAGAGTGGAAAAATTTGCCTGGTAAGTGCGTATAGTTTATCCGTAAAAGGCCTTTCCATTCAGTGTGTATTATTTCCTCACTATGTCTGCTTTAATTTCTTCATCATGCTCTCTAAATCTTGTTTTAATATAGAGTTTGTTGTAGTAGTGAGTGCTGTGATTTTGGGTTGACAATGAATTGATTTTTGTCAATTTCTGTTAGTGCTGATATTTGTATCAATGTTTAATTATTTTTGTCAAAATTGGACAGTTCCTTCGAATTGGCAGTTACATGGATTTGACCGTCCTATATATACCAACGTGGTGTATCCATTTCCACTAGATCCTCCTTTCATTCCTATGGAAAATCCTACTGGCTGTTACAGAACGTACTTCCACGTTCCTAAAGAATGGGAGGGTATGACTTCCTTAATTTCCTTATGCTGTTTTTCTTTTCTTTTGTGAGCGACATACACTATTGAGGAATTTCGTGTTGCCATTCTTTTGTTTTCATTCAGTTTGGTATCTTAGTGCATTGTACTTTGAATGTATGTACGATAATATTATTTTTTGGGGAACATATATTGATTTTCTGTACCATATTTTGTGGAAACGTTGTTTCCTGCTGGGTTTAGATCTCTACCATTACAGTACTTGCCGTATTTTAGTTTAAAATACTTACTTCTTTGGAACATTGATTGGTATTTTGAAGGTAGAAGAATTTTGTTGCATTTTGAAGCAGTTGATTCTGCCTTTTGTGCTTGGATAAATGGGCATCCTGTGGGATATAGGTAACTTTCTCTCTCTCTCTCTCTGGTATGCAGATCATAAACTCTTGAACACGATTGCATACTTACTGGTTAGTATTTTTCTTTTGTATAGACGATAAGATGTTCAAAACAATGGAAGCCAGGGAGAAGGCACGTTATGAAATAGATAATAAATTGGTAACTGTGATGAAGAAAATACTTGCCAACTAATCATTAGATATTCATTTACCATCTTGTCTTTTCTAGTGCAAATCCCTGGTCAAACATAGCTGGACATTTGATATTCTATAGTATGTTCATGCTAAAGGCCTGTTTTTTTTAATGGATATGGAGTGAGGTGTCTTATTATATAGTACTTATGAAGAACAAAGGTAATATGAATGAAGCTTTGACATTAATCAATTCTTGTTCTATTTTTGTAAGGACAGCCAAGACAGCAGACTACCTGCAGAGTTTGAAATCACTGATTTTTGTCATCCATGTGGTTCAGATCTTAAAAATGTTCTGGCTGTTCAAGTGTATAGATGGAGTGATGGCTCTTACCTTGAAGACCAGGACCAGTGGCGGTTATCTGGTATCCACCGTGATGTCCTTCTTATGGCAAAGCCAGAGGTTTGTCTTCAGTAAATTTCTCCCCATCTACTATTGTTTGATATCATTTATGATAAGTATTCTTATTAGAATTAGGTTAGTGCATATAGGTCCAAAAGGTAGTCATTAATGTTTATTGTTTACATATGATAATCAAAGTGTGATGCTGTCACTTTTTATTAGCGATAGGTTATAAAATCTTTTGTCAAATTAATTAAGAATTAGATTATATCCTAAATGCACCTAATTTGTCTTTTAAATAACCTAGAGATTTCAACTTTGAGAACTATGTACATGTATCTTTATATCTTGTTTTTTTCTCGAATATAGAATGTCCAATTTTTCGGCCGTAACTGTTTTTTTATTCTTGATGCTAATATCTTTCAAATATTTTGTATGTAGGTATTTATTACTGACTATTTTTTCAAATCAAATCTCGCTGAAGATTTTTCTTACGCAGATATACTGGTAAGCATAATTTATTGTTAAGTTATTTTTATTTTTCATGTCATAATTCTATTATGCATCCCTAACTGGTCTTTCTTGTAGAAGATTTTATCTATATCAGATTATATTGAAGCCTTTATTATTTTGTTGTTTCAAGTTTGTAAAGTTGAAATGCAGTTCCCAAATGTATAAATAAATTGATGTTCTGTATTTCTTCACAGCAACTTTTATCATTGTTTCCTTTATTCTACCATGATTTCCCCATTTTATCACTGATATTCAACAATACTGTTACTGTTATTCATGTGTTATTGTTATTTGGGATATATTATCAGTTTCATGCATATGTAATCCAGGTTGAAGTAAAAATAGATAGATTAAAAGAGACATCCAAGGATAATGTTCTCACGAACTACTCTATTGAAGCTACACTGTTTGATTCTGGAAGCTGGTATGCCGTTGATGGGAACCCTGATCTCCTTTCATCTAATGTGGCAGATATAAAGCTCCAACCATCAAGTACACCAGCACCAACATTAGGGTTTCATGGCTATGTGCTTACAGGGAAACTGCAATCACCAAAGCTTTGGTCTGCTGAGAAAGTAATTTCATTCATATTTCTTCGTGTGTTTGGGTGGATTTTATTTATTAATTAGCAAACTAATGATTACATTACTATTGAAAAATATTAAGATTTTTTGCCTAATGGTGACTCCACAACTGTAATCCTGCAAATGTCTCCTGAGTTTCTTGTCTTGTTACCTTCTCTCATTCATTTTTTTTTTTATCTACGGCATATTTTTGTTTCCATAGCCATTGAGTGATAGGCGGATAAAGTTTTTTAACTGAGTTTCTTAAACTCCTTTGAAAAGGTTGAAGTATTTCTATCTTTATGATTATTTGTCAAGACAAGACCTGTCTTTCTGTGATTAAAAGCTTATTGACATATTTAGATTTCTTCAAGCTTCACATTACCATTTTTTTGTTATTGCTCTTTTACCTATTTGGGTTTCATGTGTAATTTTGTTTGCTGTACAGCCATACCTCTATACTCTAGTCGTTGTCCTGAAAGACCAATCTGGTCGTGTTGTTGACTGTGAATCATGTCCAGTAGGATTTAGAAAAGTATCTAAAGCCCACAAACAACTGCTTGTTAATGGACATGCTGTTGTAATAAGAGGTGTGAACAGGCATGAGCATCATCCTCAAGTGGGGAAGGCAAATATAGAATCCTGTATGATCAAGGTACTGCTAATCCTTTTTAGCCCTTCAATAAAAATGCTGTGTTTTTTAGACACCAATAAGTAATAATTGCTGTGCTTACAGGATCTGGTCTTGATGAAGCAAAATAATATTAATGCTGTGCGAAACAGCCATTATCCCCAACATCCACGCTGGTATGAGCTATGTGATCTGTTTGGCATGTACATGATAGATGAAGCCAATATTGAGACGCATGGTTTTGACAATTCTAAACATTTCAAGCATCCTACTTTGAAACCAAGTTGGGCATCTGCAATGCTGGATCGGGTGATCGGCATGGTTGAGAGAGATAAAAATCACACATGCATTATTGCATGGTCTTTAGGGAATGAATCTGGATTCGGAACAAATCATTTTGCTTTAGCTGGTAGATAGTGCAATTGTGTTCACTTACAATTAGCATGTGCATATTTGAAGCAATTTATTATTTGATTGGGCCGTTATATTTTATTTGAAAAATTACTGGCTAATATTTTTTTCTTCATTTTGTCAATGCATCAGGTTGGATTCGAGGACGAGATTCATCGCGGGTATTACATTATGAAGGAGGTGGATCCAGGACTCCTTGCACTGATATTGTGTGTCCTATGTATATGCGCGTTTGGGACATGGTGAAAATAGCCCATGATCCAACTGAAACACGTCCTCTGATATTGTGCGAGTATGATTTCATGGTTTTACATCTAAAGATAATATAACTTCTATGGTCCCTGTTGTTTTCAGCTTTTATTTATGTCCAAAACAAATGGCACTACTAGGTATAGGGTTCTGTTTCTTGTAGGTAACTTTTTCACCTGGCTATATAATATTTATATCACTTACTGATCTAAATATAAGATAACATTGGTGTATTTCCTCTCTTTAACTTAGGTACTGCTGGTACCATTTATTTAATATCTTTTTTTTTTGCCGACCAAAAAATATGGCAGATATTCACATGCAATGGGAAACAGTAATGGAAATCTTCATTTATATTGGGAAGCAATTGACAACACATTTGGACTCCAAGGAGGCTTTATTTGGGATTGGGTTGATCAGGTGAGTGGTTTTTGAATACTGTAACCAAATTGATGAATGATCAACTTTACTTTCCGTTCTCTGAGTTCTCTCAATTTTGTATTTTTCTTGCACGTAGGCCCTGGTGAAAGTTTATGAAGATGGTACAAAGCATTGGGCATATGGTGGTGAATTTGGGGATGTTCCCAATGACTTGAATTTCTGTTTGAATGGCCTCACATTTCCCGATCGAACTCCTCATCCTGCTTTACATGGTAAACTGACAGATTGTCTCATTATTGCACACACAACCTTATAGGAGTGACAAATCGTTCTTATTTACATCATTAGTCATGATTCATGAACATAACTTTTGTTTCAGAGGTTAAGTACTTATATCAGCCAGTCAAGGTGGCTTTAAATGAAGGGACATTGGAGGTACTCATGGTTTATCTGAATTGTATGTTTCTCTCGTCAAATTTGATTTGATAATTTATTTTCGTTTTTTTGTTTTGCAGATAAAAAATACTAATTTTTTTCAAACTACGGAAGGATTGGAGTTCAGCTGGTATATTTCTGCAAATGGATATAACCTTGGATCTGGTATTCTGGACCTTGCCCCTATAAAGCCCCAGAGTAGTTATGCTGTTGATTGGCAATCAGGTCCATGGTATTCTCTATGGGCTTCATCATCAGAAGAAGAACTATTCTTGACCATATCGGCTAAACTTTTGGACTCTACACGCTGGGTTGAAGCTGGTCATATTGTCTCATCTGCTCAAGTTCAACTGCCTGCCAGGAGAAACATTATTCCTCATGTAATTTTTGACATGTTGATTTATTTTAGAACCAAGTCATACCTCTGGTTAGGGCTGAGTAATGAGGCTTCGTAGTTTATACTATATGCTGTTACTGCTTAAATTATTTTTTTCTATTTTATGAATGATTGTTGTATTCAGGCTATTGATATTAGTGGTGGCACTCTGGTTGCTGAAACACAAGGAGATACAATCATAGTCAAACAGCCAGATGTTTGGGATTTGACATTGAATACTAAAACAGGTTTAGTTGAAAGCTGGAAGGTAAAATCTAAGCATTGGATTTATCATTGTTCCATTGAATTTTGATTAAATTGGAACTTGTTTTGTCTCTTATAAATTAAAACACTGGCAGCAGTTTATTTAGATATAGAATACAGGACAAATGCCTTCTTAAAATAGTAAGACCTGGCATCATGTTATAAAATTAAAGAGTGCCTTGAATAATGGTTTCTGTATTTTAAATAATGTCTTTTAATCTTCAATTGCAAGAAATACAACATTCACTGATCACATTGTTTTTCTTTTTAAGCCCTCTAATAGGAGCCTGAGTGTTGTTTGGTATGAGATAATACTTATTTATCCAAACCTAAATATTTTTTTTAGTTCAAGGTTTTGATATCTTAGAGTAGTTTAGGCTTGACTCAACCTCTACAAAATTGGTTTGTAAGGTGATGATTGCTAGACTTATATATTGTATTTTGACACTATAACTCTAGTTGATGTGAGACTTGGTTTTTCCCAATAAGATATACTAGAGACTGGTTTAACACTGAAAATAACTGACAATCAGAGAAAGCTCCAGTACAATGGTAGCACTGGAAAACACAGCCAGACACTAGGAAATGTAAATGAAAGGAAAAGATAGAAAACCAGAGCTACAAAAACAGATTCTGCCTTGCCTCTTTATCAATTTTTAAAATCTGCCACGCCTCCCCACTACTATCCTTTTCCGTTTTATTTTTGCATTTGTTGAGTTTTGAAATTTTAGTAGAGTGAATAGATGTCATAGTTTTGTAATATTTTTATGTTATTTAAGTGTCCTCTTTAATAGAAGTTCATGATGCCTCTTAAAATTTTAATATTACTTTACAGCTATTAATATTGTGATGATAAATGCTAGGTTAAAGGAGTACATATTATGAAAAAGGGCATCCTCCCATGTTTCTGGCGAGCTCCTACTGATAATGATAAAGGAGGAATGGAAGCCAGTTATTTGTCCAGGTGGAAAGCTGCTGGAATGGACTGCCTCCACTTTATTACTGAGAGCTGTTCTGTGCAAAATATTACAGAGAGCACGGTTAGAATATTGGTGGTTTTTCTTGGTGTTACAAAGGGTGAGGAGGAATCTCTCTCTAACCAAGACAAGTCAAAGGTTTTATATACAACAGAAATGACATATACAATTTATGCTTCTGGGGATGTTATTTTAGAATACAATGTGCAGCCAAACCCTGATCTCCCTCCTTTACCACGCGTCGGAATTGAGTTAAATGTGGAAAAATCACTGGATCTAGTAACTTGGTATGGAAAAGGGCCATTTGAGTGTTATCCGGATCGAAAAGCTGCAGCCCAAGTTGCAGTCTATGAATATACTGTTGGTGAGTTGCATGTTCCTTATATTGTTCCTGGGGAATCTTCTGGCAGGGCAGATGTTAGGTGGGTAACATTCAGAAACAAAAATGGTTTTGGAATATATGCTTCTAAGTATGGTAGCTCTCCACCAGTGCAAATGAGTGCAAGCTACTATAGCACCTCAGAACTTGACCGTGCCACACACAATGAAGAGCTCATTGAAGGAGATAGCATTGAGGTATTTATATCGTGCAATGATATTTCCACATTTTCCTTCCATTATTTTTGAAATGGCAAATTGCACTTTAACCCATCTAATATATAGTTGTGACTGCTGAGGGTGCAAATTGGAATTATTGCTATAGTTTATGCTGTAAATGTGGTATGTAATTTTTTAGATGTCAAGCAGAAAACTGGGGCCCAAAGTTTAGGGTGCCAAAGTTCAATAGTTTCCCAAAATTTGTGTTAGTGCTGACACCTTTGGAGCTGTAGTTAATGTAATACTCATTCAGTTTGTGCTGCATTTGAGTGCATTGTGGTTGTGTTCTGTTCTCTATGACATGAGTTTCTTCGTGTACAAGGAATTAGTTGTTTTGAATGTTACCTGCCATGGTGATATGTAGTAGTTTTCTGAGATGGGACTAGGGCCATTTTTAGATATATTATCCCATCTTCATAGAATTATCATTAGGGTAAAATTTGTTTTAGGTCTCAACATTTGGTTGAGATTGGTCTCGGTCCTTATAAAAGTCTAAAAAAGGTGGTGGATTTCTTGAGATTTTGGCACATCTTGTGCACAAGTCTCTTTTTTTAATAATATATTAAGTTTTCCCTTTTCAAAAAAAAAAAAAAACATACAAGTAAACCAAAACCACTGATTAAAATGTAGGGACTGAAACAATTTTTCACCGAATCTTGAAGGGGACCTAAACCACATTTTACCCATGCTATTATTATTCAATTTCTCATCTTGGATGTTTTCTGGTATTACAGGTTCATCTGGATCACAAGCACATGGGATTAGGTGGAGATGATAGTTGGTCACCATGTGTCCACACTCAGTATTTGATTCCTCCTGTGTCATACTCATTCTCTGTCAGGTTATGTCCTGTAACTCCAGCCACTTCTGGTTATGACATCTACAAATCCCAACTTCAAAACTCTTGATTTCTTTGATCACACGACTCTATTATATTCAAGAATACACGTGTAGAAGAAGACAGAAGACTGGTATGTTTATAAAGAACTACTTCAAAGCTTTTGATGTAAAGAAACATTCTCACGCAATCATTTTAGTTGGAAGCTTGATTTAATAATGTGGAAGGTGGATACAATCTTGTATGACAAATTTGTTCGATCGTAACAAAGTGGCCAGTTCCTCAAGTTGCTTAATTAAGTCCTGTAACTGTTATATGAATAATTTTTTCTTATTTGATGATTAGTGACAATGAAATGAATGAAAAATAATCTACTTTCTCCTGAAGTTACTTGCATGTTTCTTTTATGCATTTTTATGAGATCACGAGGTGGCCACAGGAAAAACAATATAGATTTTTTTGTTCCAAGTTTCCCTTTAAAAATTTTGGGAAATGATAGTCCCTACCAAAATTGGTTCCAACTTCCAGCATTTAACATGGTTTGGAGAATAAGTACTCTCTAGAATGCAGTATGAAGATACTTTCTACATCTATAAACCTATGATATGTTTTAAGGGTATTTCATTGAAACCTTTTCCATTCGTGAGATGGACCAAAGCGACGTTTTTTTTTTCTTTAAAAAAAAGGGTAAATTGTAATCAAAACGAGATAGATTCTTAAGTAAAAATGCATAATTATAAATCCTCTTACAAGGTCTTTCTACCAATCCTTCTATTTGCTTAATTAAAAAAGTTTTTAATGATTTTTATATTTAACACGCTACGATGTATTTATTTTATAAAGCATCAGAAAGATTAATGAGGTATAAAGCAAAGTATACTTTTACCAACGCACTCGTTCACAAAAAGTAATAATAAAACAAAAGGATGCTTGCATTATTATTAAAGAAGAAAGCGGTTACACAAGGTACACAAAATTTACAAAGTTGCTTGCACAGAAAAATTCTTACAAATTCTAATTTTACCACTTCTTTAATTGTTTTATCCATGATTTGGGTGCCTCTAGTTTTTCTCGTGGTTTTAGTCCTCTTATTTTATAAAATTTGTAATTTTGACTTAGTTATAAATTTCACACATTTAATTTCTTTTATTTTTGTCCAACTTAACTCTAAATCCAAAATATTCATTTATAGTATCATCGATAAATAATTAAATTAATTTAAATATAAACAAATTAAATACTATATGCGAAGTTGAGAATTGGATCAATTTAACAGATTTTTCAAAAATGTGAAGAGAAACCTGACTATTGATGAAGGAAAGGTGAAGCAAATATATGAAGAGAAAAAAGTTGAAAATTGAATGATTTTTTTAAGTTGTTTGGTCTTGTAGAAAAGTATAACAGAATGAAAAGAGTATATATAATAGCATAAATATTCTTAATAAAAAATATACTACAAAAAGAATATTTGTGTCTTAGTAAAAATATACTATAAAATTTAGAATGAAAGATTATTTCTTATATTGTAACAATTCAAAGTCTAACAATGAAAGAAATTATCTAGTTAATCTTTTTCACTCCATTCTTTTTTTCTCTTCACTTTTCAGCAATTCCTAACAGAAGATAAAGGTAGTCTCATGTGGCTTACAATAGTGTTGCGAACATTCATCAAGTTATAATATCCTCAATCACTAGACTGCTACATCATTCAAGTGCAACATTCAAAGACAAAAGAGATAGCAGAGACATACATTATCTATAAGAAATCGTCTGCATGAATAACCAGACTGCACACGACACAACTAATAAGGATTCGCATTCATGTACTAAACATAACAATCTAAGACTTAAGATAACCTACAAAATCCCTCCAAATCAACATTTTGCGAGCGATAGAAAAACATCTTACGAAATCCTGAATTTTTCTTTTTGCTCAAAAATACATCTTAAAACCCCATCACTGGAAGAGAGTTTCACTAAAGTAAAGTTTACACTACATTCATAGACATGATTTGCCTAGCAAGACCAGGATCTTGCTGTAAAAGTTCTCTCAAATTGCTTTCCACCTCTGTTATCTGCTTTTCCAAGTATTCTTTCGAGGTCTGTTCAAAGACATAGAATACGAGCTGATTTTCATTCAAAGGTTTTGGAAAGTCGTATATTATGCTTTTGAAATTTAGCTAAAATAGTTATATTTGTTTCACTTACAAGATTTTACTTTCTTATTTTCACCTTTAGAAAATTCAAAATAAAATGATGAAAGACAATTGAAGGACATATACCTGTAATGTAGTAATTGTAGCTTCACCATCCTTAAACTTTTTCTCCTGTTCATTCATTAATGATGCCTTGGTCTCCAATACAAACCTGGTCATCATGTTAAGAGCGTGTTAAAGTAGCATTAATATTTTCTAAAACAGCCCATAATTCAAGCTTTTGTGTACTCTATTAGTAGCATGTTCAAAGAGGTAATCACAACTCACATCCTCCCTGCACATCAAAATAAATGGAGACACATCATACGTCTGTACAAAACTAGGGCACCACTAAATACCAATAGCAATACTTTCAAATCTGTAGGGTTGTTTAAAGAACAGAAGCAGTAACACAAGCTCATGATTTTCATCACATACCAATAGATTTGTAAACATTAGTATCATCAGGAACTTGCTTTAGTTCCTCCATGGTCAAAAAAGCCCGCTTCTTTTCAGCTTCTTTGGTACGCATCTGGTTTTGCACCTGCATGTTGCAAGGCATAACATAAACTGCCAGTCTGGGGCAACCTTAACAAGCATATCATTCGCATATGCAAAGTACAAATGTCAAGGTTTTCATTTACTTTAATATCCCACTTCTAACAACAATAACAAAAACCTATTTCACTAGGTGATTGATCCATTTCTTTTTATCCCACTTCTAAATAAATAAACTTTTGTTGTCTTCTCTTTCAGAACTCAGATGTAAGTATTCTCAGTCAGAGTTGATAGCAGTGCAAAGTCTGCACATCCCAACACACGCACAAGTAGTAACACTTAAAACACAGTAATGTATTGGTCATATATCATAACAGTATACTGTGCATAAATCACTAATTGAATCCTAACATATTAGTCAAAGCAATAGTGTGCATCAAATCACTCTTCTTCAACATATCAGCTTCATCAATGTCATTCCACGGACATTAATTAAATCCTCCAAAACATTGAGAATATAGCCAGGAAACACATGTTAGAAAAACACCATCAATTTAAGAAATTAAAGAGGATCCGATTCCATAGATCCATTAGGTTGAAGAACAAAAATATTGTCTACTGGAAACAACCCTACTTGAGCAGGGTAAGACTATTGTGAACAAAAAAATTTGTTTCCAAACATTTGATAGGGTTTCACTCTCAAGGCCCACACTTGAAATTACCGAGCTTAAACAGCTTCACACCAGTTGAAACATACACTTGGCGGCAATTAGTAGCCAATACTTAGCTCCACATGAATTTAAATATAAATAGAAAAACAAGTTCATATTATCCACTAATTGCTTAAGGTATAAGTCTCCTCTAATAAATTCAATGTAATTTCAAACAACAATAACTAGGGGAAAGAGGCATCTCGTGCTTTGTATTTTATACAATAAGAACTAAGTTAAATAAGAGAAGCGGGTGGTTTGCAGAATGCAGCTAGGGGTGTGAGTGCTTTGGAGAGTATAGTTATAGAGATTAATGTGAAAGTTATATGGACAAAATTGAGCACAAAAATTTGTATATCAAAACCTTTGTATATATGGTTATAGATATACATGAAGGAGATATGAAGCTTGGTGTCCACATTTTTGTTTTCTACTTTGTCCCTCTGACTTTCTTCATTAATCTCTATTTTATCTTTATAACTGTGCGCTTCACATGACTCATATCTCTAACTACACTGTGCAAACCACCCACCACTTCTAATATTTAACTGTATTATTTTTTATAAATACAAAGAGGCACAAATCCTTTTCCCTGAACAAAAAAAATAATAATAAAAATAAAACACTAAGAGAGATGATGACAAACCTGTTTTAATTTTCCAGTAGTTTCGATCATGCGACCTTGATTTTCAAGGAATGCCTGCATTTTTGGATCGAAAAATGAAAAAAAAAAAAAAAATAGTTGTAGCGATCAGAAGAAGAACAGTATATTAAAATTTTGAATACGTAGACAGAACGAAAAAGATGCAGAGCTATTACAGTTCTATTAGCTTCGTCTGCCATCTCAATCGATCAATCCTAAGAGAAGCTATTACGAAATCCGCACTGCACTCTCAAAAACCCTAACGCGATTGGATCCCGGAACGGGGAAAAGACGAAGTAGAAGTTGCCCTTATCAAAACTAAATTAATTTTTACTTTTAATTTTATTGGATTCTCGTTGTTTTTTCCCAAATAAAATATTATTTTTGGATGGTGATGAGGATGATTTTTATTTTTCTCATGCACCTCATCTTTTTTTCTTATAAAACATAACTCTTGTTGTTCTTAATATAAAATAAAGTTTATTTGATTGAAGAAATCATTTAAATTTATCAGTAATATTATAACAATGTCTTAAAAAATACATCTATCTCTCCTGAACTATTTGCTAATTAGGTCGAATATTATTACTTGAATTTGGTTTTGGGTAAAAATATTTTTTTAAACAGTCAAAGTAGTCTAAGAAAAAAAATTAAGACACATTAATGATACCCATGACAAAAAGAAAGTAAGAGTTATTTTAAAAAAATAATAAGAGATTTTAATCACCTTTTTTTTATCTTTATTCATATACATAAATTTTAATCATTTATTTATTTTAATTTATATTTACATTCTATTTCTGGATAAAATTGTAATACTTTTAAATAAATCAACAATATCTAACTATAAGATTCTCCCAATATAAATTATTTATCCTAAATCTAAAATATTATTTATTTATTTAAGGATAATTTATTTTATAAATTTTAATTGTACTATAATTTTTATAGATATAAAAATATTTATTTATTATATTATTAAAATTTCGTTTTGGATTTATATTCTAATTTATTTATTCAAAATATATATATATATATATATTATCTTATTTTTATAACTTGAATTAAATTATTTTATTATTATTAGTAGTAAAAATTCTAATTATTTAAAATAAATATATATATATATATATATATATATATTTATTTATTTTAAGTAATTAGAATTTTTACTAGTAATGATAATAAAATAATTTAATTCGAGCTATCAAAAATAAAACAAGACAACTTAATTAGTCATAATTAGAATAACAATAGATTCTAATTTATAGTTCATCTTCTTAATAATTTTTTATATAAAACTTTTTATACGTATTTTTAAAAAATATAATTTTAATTAATAATTTTTAAATTTTTATTTATTAATTAATATTTTTATTAGATAAATTAAAAATATAAAATTTGTGTGAAAATAATTCATTATAATAAATAATTTAAATTTAATTAATTAATTTTTATAATTTAAATTATAATATATTTATATATTTTAATAATATATAAAAAAATATAATATTTTTAATTATAATTATTTTATTTTAATTTTATCATATCAATATTTTCTATAGTTGACCAACAGAACAATCCGCTATTTCACTTTTAGTCCATCAAATTTCAGGACATACTAAAATGGAGAAAGACTTTCTTGTTTTATCATATTTTTTGACACTTAACTAATTTTCTTTAATTAAATTCGTCTATTTTAAATTAGAATTTTTTTTCATATTATTTTTCCATAAGAATATTTTCTTATTCATAAGATGTAGATACACATGCTAAATAATTTACAACAATTCATATACACTATTCACCTAAGCTTATGAGAATAATTAATTAATTTAAAACTGATGCTTCTTACCTGTAATGGAAACAATGAGACATTATATATATATATATATATATATATATATATATATATATATACACACACACGTACGTATGTGTTCTGAGAGAAAGTGTGGTTTTGCTTCAAATGGACTTTCTTCGCATTCACTTGTTTCTCTTTGTTCCAATCCTTTTCTTCCTCACTTTTCTGTCTCTCCCTTCTTCTATCCCCACTTGTAACTAGCTCTCTCTCCTTTTAATACTAGTTTTATCTTCTCTCACACACACAACACAACTATGAAACAACCTCGTACACACGTTGGTTACTTGAATTTCTCACACATTCTTATCTTCGATTCCCGTTCAAATTTTCATCTTATTTTTCTTGTTTTTGAATCAATATAGATAGAAATGTTACAATAATTATTATGCAGACAAAAACAACTATTGATGTCGATTTCTAATACTTATGTTAATTACTTTTTCTATAGTTCTGTATGCAGTATGATAACTGTATCAAATACTTTGAATACTCAGTAATTTATAGAGTTACCCAGTTAGAAATTTTAATGAATGGTGAAAGTAATTATCCCGATTTCTGATTGATTGATAGTATAAAGATTTTTATAGACATTGCATTATTATTCTTATTGTTGTTGTGTGGAGCTACATGGTTTTGTGAATGAAGTATGTGACATTTTTGTTGTAAATTCTTTTACTATTCCAGATTTTTGGCCTTGGAAGTCTCAGTTGTCTCATCACCCTGTGGCTGATTTGGTATTGAGGAATGGGGTGATATATACCAGTGATGATTCTCTTCCATTTGCAGAGTCATTGGCAGTGGCCAATGGGAGGGTTCTTCGTGTTGGAAACCATTCATTTGTCAAGGTTATAACCCTCGAGATACTTTTATTGAATAAAAGAAAGAAGAACAATTTTATTGGAGCTTAATTTTTAGGCATGTTAGTGTAAATTTTTAAGTAATTTTTGCAAAAGTCAACAAATCTATAGTATATGACAATATAGATTTGGAAGACATTACAAAATATTTTAGTGTCAATACATTCTAATTTGATTAATTTTATTCAACCTTGTTTTTGTTGCTGCTGCCCATATATGTGGCCTTCAATTGCAAACTAGGTGATCCAGATGTGCTTTTTAACATTTATGTAGGAGTTGGAGGGATATGGAACTCAAGTTTTGGATCTTGGTGGGAAGGTTGTGGTACCTGGGTTCATTGATTCCCATGTGCATTTCATTGCTGGTGGATTGCAGGTTAAGTGCATGTCCCAGTTTTCTGATTGTTTCTTTTGCCCCATTTCTTATTATGTGCCTGAGGTTGTTTGCTTACCTAGTTTTTCTGAAATGATCATATGGGACCGTCTGAAAGTAAGAAGATTCTTGTAATCTCTAATGTTTGATTCTGGAAGAAACTAATATTCTAATTTTGCGAAGTGCGCTCATCAGAAAGTCGTATAGTTAGGATGGATTCTTGAATCATTTGTATATATGGACCAAATTTTGATTTTTCTATGAGAGATCCTTTATGTTTGTAAACCTACAATGTGTTCCCTGTTTTAAAATTCTACCAGTAGCAACAGATGATGCAGGTGGAGCTGAGAGGTGTACATAAAAAGGAAGAATTTATCAGAATGATCAAAGATGCAGCACAAAGTAAGCCTTGAGCCTGTGCATACTTTTTCCTAGTTTTGATGGAGGGTAATTTACACCTAACTTGTAGTTTCCTTGAAGATGATCATATGTGTCAAACTGTCAATTCATATTTGTTTAAGTGCCTGCTCGGATTCAAACTGTGTGTATTTCACTTTTCAAACTTGATTGAGGTTCCATAGTTAAAATTCTTCTTAATATTCTATTGATGCAACTAGAGCATAGTTGATCATACTTGTGGTTTTGTTTCTATATTTCATAAAGCATCTATTTGATTCCATTAATTCTTAGTTTGATTCCATCAGATATCTGTCTCATTTTGCCTTTTCATCTGGCAGTAGATTCATTGGAGTTGTTTGGTTTTATCTCTTGACTTCCTAATGAACTAGATAAGATTGCCATTCTTTCTGAGTAATCATATGCTGGAGTAGAAGGATTAAAGCCCTGTGATTAAATACGCACAAATATGTTCATCAAATGGGAAATATCACATAGAATAATTTTCAAACTGGATGCCTCCGAGTTCTGAATTATATTAGATATGACGTTTACTCATTTTGTACACGTTTGACATTAGGCTCAAAACAAGGCTCCTGGATTTTGGGTGGTGGATGGAACAATGATCAATGGGGAGGAGATCTGCCAGTTGCCTCTTGGATTGATGATACTACTCCTAATAATCCTGTGAGCCATTTACCCATGTTCTTTCCTTTTTGAAAATCTTCATTCAAAGCAAAACTAATCTTATTTAAAGTGTATGAGCAGGTTTGGCTGTCAAGAGTAGATGGCCACATGGGTTTGGGTAATTCAGTGGCACTAAAGTTGGCTGGGATTACAAATTTAACTGATGATCCAATAGGGGGAATTATAGTGAGGGCTGCTAATGGAGGTAATACTTTATTTTATTTATATGAAAAGGATATTTGATCATTATATTATTTCGTTGTTTTGTATATATAGTGAAATGAATATCTAAAAAATATAAGACTGAGTTTCTGAGTGTTGGATCATCCTACAATATGCGATAGTCCATTTTGTGCATCCTACTCTTTAATCATCCATTTTTCTTTGTAAACTTGTGAGCTACAAAATTTTTAGTTTCTGCATTTTTTATGATGATTTTCTGGATAGTATAGTGTGATAAAAGGATTTAAGTATATTCTGCATTATTCAACAAAATAAAACCATTTATGAGCTTCTACCTTACAGCTTAAGCTTTTAGGTGAGTACTTAACAAGCATATTAGCATGTCTTATTGCCATTCCATGTCAACCTTATTAATATATTTCTAATGGCATTTTCCTTACCACTACCATGTTATTACTCGCTAGTTTGTCAGTCTACTTCATGTGCTTTCTAATGTGAGTTACATGTTACAGTCTCTTTATTGAGTATCAAAGCTTATCTGAGCGATGTATGTTAGGCCTATCGTGTAATCCGCTATAGGACCACTCATAAATATCTAGTTCCATGTTTGAGATGTCCAATTCTCAGCATGAGAGAGCGATAGAGATCTCCAATAGACTAATGGTAAAATTATAATATATAAATAAATGCAAATCTCATCTTATAAATTTGTTTTATAAGATAAAGTTAGGCCTAACTAGTTCGTAAGACAATCAATAAATGATTTTATTCCAATAGTGGAAAATGATACTGCTAATTTCATTTCAAGATTCTTTTTTGTTCTGTAATATTTAAACTGATACAGTGTAACTAATTGTTGTTGTTATCATGCAGAACCTACTGGAGTACTAATTGATTCTGCTATGACACTTATTACCTCCTTGATTCCGGAGGATTCAGTAGATGATAGGAGGGAGGCGTTGCTTAGAGCAAGCAGTCTTGCCCTAACAAGGGGGGTGACTACGGTTGTTGATATGGGAAGATATTATCCTGGGTTTTCAGCTGAACTTTCCTGGGATGATTTTTCAGGTTTTGTCTAAGAGATTTTGTTGATTTATACATAAGATGGAATTTTTTTCTGTACTTTCTAATTGTGTTTTTTTTTTTTATGTCATTTTATTTTCTTTTATTTTGAACATCAACTTAATGGCAATATAGTCATAAGGCGAAGATTTACTGCAAACAGTTCTTGTTGTTCTGAATAGTGAACTATACTTGAAGGAAACCATTTAATCCATTGAAATGCAATCTAAAGTATTGGGTTAATGAGACTCTAGAAGACTTACTTAGTTACTGATACAAGCAAAGAATTAGAGGGACAAATTAGGAAGGCCCAAAATGTGTATGATAAGAAGAAGTGGAAACCCATTGCATGGGGTCCACAGGCACACGCACTATGATTCTGTTTCTAACAAAATCGCCTACGTGTCTGTTTAGAGAGAGAAAATAGGCAATGAGAGTATAGGCGAGGGGGGTTGGTTTTTGGAAAAAAAAAAGGAAGGGAGGACTTCTGGGGTTGGCTCTTTTGGGGGGAAGAGAAACAACTTTTCTCTTTGTTTTCGAATACAGAAATAACACGAGGAATTTTCATCTCTTATTCATTACTGTTTTATTGGGTTCTTATCAAGTGGTATCCAGAGCACTCGATTATGGGAGTGCATGGTGCTATCAAGAAACACAACGGAGAAGCGTATGGAAGGTCTTGAACAGCAGATTGTAGAATTAAGGAATTTCGCGTAGCATGTCTCGTCGTGGCAAATCTCACAAACGACAATCACATCGGAGGCGGAACAGGAACAACGATGGCGAAGTTGAGAGTGAAAATAGTTTGCGCTCCACCACGCGAAGCATGAGTCGTGACTCATATCATGATTTTTGGGGCCGCAAGTTGAAGATTCCCATATTTAGAGGTGACATGCATATGGATGGGTAGTTTGAATCGAAAGATATTTCAAATTGAACATGGTGCACGAGGTTGAGAAATTGGACGTCGTGATTATCGCCCTGTAGGATAAGGCATTGAGTTGGTATCAATGATGGGAAGAACAGAGTCCAGAACTAAGTTGGGAGGAATTTAAGGAGGCCTTGATTAGGCGTTTTCAACTAGGGTTAGTACAAAACTCGTTTGGTCCATTGCTGAGTATTAAACAAACTAGTTCGGTAATGAAATACAAGGAGAAGTTTGAAAGGGAATCAACTCTTTTGAAGAAAGAAGAAAGAATTATGCTGAAGGGTATTTTTATCAATGGCTTGAAAGAAGAGATCCAAGCTGAATTAAAAATTGTATGCCATCAGGACATTGGATGAATTGATGGATAAAGCATTATTGCTAGAACAGAAGAACAATGCCTTACGTAAGGTTGGGTTGATAGGTGCAGAGAAGAAGACAGGGTAGAAACCTTTTATGAAGTAGGCAAAAAGCTTCACTAGGTGGGAGAAAGGAGGAAGTAAAGAGGGGACAAGCAGTAAAGTGAATGAGAATGAGGTTTTAGAAAATAAGACATTAGGGGAGGAAAATTATCTCAAGCAGAGCTATGAGAAAGAAGTAAGAAGGGGTTATATTTCAAATATGGAGAAACGTGGGGAAAAGTTCATGTATTCAAATCGAAACACTATCAAATTGTATTGGTGGAAGACTCCCAGGGTGAAGAATCTAAAATTATTAATGGGGAGGAGGAAAAAGGGGACACTCTTATGACTAAAATCTTGCAGATTTCACTGAAAAGCAAGGAAGGACTGACCTTTAATCGATCCTTCAAAGTAATGGGGAGAATTGGAGGAATTGAGGTATTGGTTTTAGTGTATTGTGGAGCTTTAGCCAATTTCATTTCAAAGAAATCAGTCCAGCATCTCAAATTAGAAGTGAGTAAAACAATGGAGTTTGAGGTTGAAGTAGGAATAGGGAACAAGGTGGTGAATAAGGGAATATGTAAATAATTGGAAGTGGTGATTCAAGGTATTCCAATTGTGCAACAATTCTATCTTATGGAGTTGCGAGGGACTGATCCTGTGTTCGGGATAAAATGGTTAGCAAGCTTGGGGAATGTGAGATAATTTCTGGCATTTAATGTTGAGTTGGGGGATAAAGGGGGAGGAAAAGATCATAAAAGGGGACCCCCTACACTGTAAATCACAGACTTCATGGAAGGCGATGGTGAAAACTCTCAACAATGAAGGAGAAAGATATATGTTGTCATATCAAGCACCCAATGTGGCAGAAAAAGGTCTCACTTCCATTGAGGAGCTAGCGGCTGTCCAGAATTTGAGGACATATTCAAAGTACCTACGAACTAACCTCCCAAGAGAGCTTGTGACCATACTATCATTCTCAAAGAAGGTGCAAATCCTCCAAATACACGACTTTATAGGTACCCATATTACCAAAAGAATGAGATTGAGGAGTTTGTGAAGGAAACGATGATTGTTGGAATTATAAGGCCTAACAACAACCATTACAGTAGTCCAGTGATTCTCGTAAGGATGAAAGATGAGGGATGGTGGTTTTGCGTGGATTACCAAGCTTTAAACAAGATAACAGTACTGGATAAGTTTCCTATACCAGTCACAGATGAACTTCTGGACGAGTTGCGAGGAGCTCAAGTGTTTTCGAAATTGGATTTGAAGTCGGGATATCACCAAATTCGTATGAGAGAAGAAGATGTCCTTAAAACAGCTTTAGAACTCACGAAGGTCACTATGAGTTTGTGGTCATGCCTTTTGGGCTTATTAATGTGAAGTGAATCACAAGGGGTGATTTAGGATCTTTAGGGTTAGAACCTTGTAAGAAATTTAGGAATTTAGTGATAAGGTGGAAGGAAAGAATCACTCTTCCCAAGGAAGGCAACTCACAAAGGATGTGAAAGTATTTTGATACAACCAAGGGTTCTTGAATCACTTAAGAATTTAAGAGAATCACTCTCACTAAGATAAAAGAGATAAACTCTAATAATTCTGAATAAAATTTAACTTGTTATTTTTTATAAAAATGGTTCAGCCTATATAGAAGCTTTGCCATCAGAATTACGAAGATTTAATAAAGGAAAATAAATGTTAATAATTATTCATTAACTTAGGAATTGAAAACTACTTAATGATTGATTGTAACTGAAATTGTGGCATCCAAAAGTCAATCAGCTATACACCTTCTTGGTCTCCCAAAGACTGATAACTAAATTTCCAATTGGGCCCTTATTACAACTTGCAATAAAACCAAACTAAAGTCCATTAATTGATTAATCCAAAACACAATTTGGTCAACCAACAATACTTGAAGAGTTTCCTTTGTTTCTCTTGCATAGGTCATGTTCACATCATTCTCTCCCTCTTAAAAAAGATTTGTCCTCAAATCGGATCCATCATCTACATTAAAAAGAGATAAGTCTGACAAATTAAATGCAGAACAAACATTATACTCACTTTTTATGGCTAAATAACTCTCTCTCACTTCAAGTGTTTCACTCTTCTTTTGATCACTCTTTTTCTTCTCAAGTGTTTCACTAACGCTTTTTTTTTCTCTCTTTTCTTGAAGAAATTTTTCTCTCATTTTCTTTTTATCCTCACACACTTCTTGTGGACTCAAAGGTTTGAGCACAATCTTTTTGTCTTGGTGCATGAAAGAAAACTTGTTGGTGAACCGGTCATGATTAACTCTTTTATCAAATTGTCATGGTCTCCCCAAAAGTAAGTGACTGACCTCCATAGGAACAACATCACAAAGTACCTTATCATTGTATTTTCCAATGAAAATGTTCACTTCAACTTGCTTCCTCACTTGCACCTCTCTATCCTTACTAAGCCATTGAAGTTTATAAGACCTAGGATGTGGTTTAGTAGGTAAATTTAGCTTTGACACTAATCTAGTACTAGCCACATTGGTGTAACTACCTCCATCTATGATCATCATGCACACCTTGTCATTGATTAAAAATCTAGTGTAGAAAATATTTTTTCTTTGGCTTTCTTCCATAGGCTTCAATTGCCCATCAAGTAATCGTCTATTCATTAATAAATCTCCCTTTGAAATCTCCTCCTCTATGTCCTCACTCTCCTCTTCCTCTTCCTCTTCAACCTCAGATTCACTTATATATTTTCCCTCTCTAAGAACTATAAATCTTTTGTTAGTGCACTCATAAACATAGAGTTCTAAACCTTGACATTTGAAACACTTCACATCTCTACTTCATTTAGAGAGTTGTTCTTCAGACTTTGAAGGAGTCTTTGTAGGAATAGGTGTGGAACGACTAGAAGTAACAGTCTCATCTTTCTTGCCTTTGTCCTTCCAACTTGAAGATCCAAAGTTGGTAGAACTCTTCTCAGCCACTTCTTTTCTTTTGAGTCGTTGCTCCACTCGGATTGCTTTATGAAGTAATTCCTCCATATCAACAAACTCCTGCAACTCAACAATATCACGTATATCAATATTCAAACCACCAATAAATCGGGTCATAGTTACCTCTTCATCTTCTTTAATCTTTGCTTGAATCATGAACATGTCCATTTCCTTGAAATACTCCTCAACCCCTTGTTGCCTTGAGTAAGTTTTTGGAGTTTAAATTTCAAGTCCCTTAAATAACTAGCCGGCACATACCACTTCCTCATGATCATTTTCATCTCATTCCATGTATCAACCATTGGCTCTTCATTTCTACCTCTCTCCTTTTGTAGCTTGTTCCACCAAACAAGAGCATAGTCAGAAAATTTCGTTGCAAGCCTCACCTTTTGGGTCTCCTCATAATTGTTGCAAGAGAAAACATGTTTCATTTTCATCTCCCACTCCAAATATGCCTCCGGATCACTTTTTCCTTTGAACGGAAAAATGTTAAGCTTGACTCCTTCAAGCCTACTTGGTCTTGCTATTCCATCATTCCTTCTCCTATTTCTCCTTTCTTCTTCATCTTCGGAATCTCTATTCTTCAACCGGTTCAATATTTCATGGAGCTCATTGTTATGTCGCATCATTAATCCTTCCAAATGTTGTATCAATGCTCTCATTTGAAATGGACTAATTCTTGCTTCTTGATTGTAATTTTCCTCTTCTGCCATCAATTTGATGTTCAAACCCTTAAATCGGGATTCTGATACCAACTGATATGAATCACAAGGGGTGATTTAGGATCTTTAGGGTTAGAACCTTGTAAGAAATTTAGGAATTTAGTGATAAGGTGGAAAGAAAGAATCACTCTTCCCAAGGAAGGCAACTCACAAAGGATGTGAAAGTCCTTTGATACAGCCAAGAGTTCTTGAATCACTCAAGAATTTAGGAGAATCACTTTCACTAAGATAAAAGAGATAAACTCTAATATTTTTGAATAAAATTTCACTTGTTATTTTTTATAAAAATGGTTCAGCCTATATAAAAGATTTGTCATCAGAATTACAAAGATTTAATAAAGGAAAATAAATGCTAATAATGATTCATTAACCTAGGAATTGAAAACTACTTAATGATTGATTGTAACTAAAATTGTGGCATCCAAAAGTCAATCAGCTATATACCTTCTTGATCTCCCAAAGACTAATAACTAAATTTCCAATTGGGCCCTTATTACAACTTGCAATAAAACCAAACTAAAATCCATTAATTGATTAATCCAAAACATAATTTGGTCAACTAACAATACTTGAAGAGTTTCCTTTATTTCCCTTGCTCTAACCCTTATCATAGGTCATGTTCACATCATGTCCTTAAAACAACTTTTAGAACTCACGAAGGTCACTATGAGTTTGTGGTCATGCCTTTTGGGCTTATTAATGCCCCTTCCACATTCCAAGCTCTCATGAATCAAGTATTGAAGCCTTATTTGAGAAATTTTTCTTTAGTATTTTTTTATGACATACTTATATTTAGCAAGACTATGAATGGACATTGTGAACATGTAAGAACTGTGTTGAATGCTTTGAGAAGACATGGGTTAGTAGTGAACAAGAAGAAGTGCTCTTTTGGAAAGGCATGTATTGAATAATTGGGACATATCATCTCTGGTCAAGGAGTAGTGGTTGATCCTACCAAAATAAAAGACATGCTTGACTGGCCAATTTCGAAAGATGTGAAGGGATAGAGAGGGTTATTATAGAAAATTTGTAGAAGGGTATGGGAAATTAGTGTGGCCTTTAACACAACAGTTAAAGAAAGACAAGTTCAATTGGGATGACTCGGCTCAAGAAGCATTTGACAAGTTGAAAACAGCTATGATACAAGTGTCTGTGCTAGCTGTTCTTGATTTTTCAAAGATATTTGTGGTGGAAACAGATGCTTCAGGAAAAAGTTTGGGAGCTGTTTTGATGCAGGGAGGGCAACCCGTGGCTTACATGAGCCAAACTCTATCCGATAGAGCTTTGAATAAATCAATTTATGAGAAAGAATTCATGGCCATGGTCTTGGCTATTTAGAAATGGAGGCATTGTTTGTTAGGCAGACACTTCATTGTTCATACGGACCAAAAAAGTTTGAAGTTTCTAATAAATCAAAGATTGATGAGTGAGGAACAAAATAAATGGATCTCTAAGTTGTTGGGATTTGACTTTGAAATTAAATACAAACCAGGGAGAGACAATAGAGTAGCAGATGCTCTTTCCAGGAAGCTACACTTCTCAGCTATGAGTATTGTGTCTGATTCTTTGAATGGGAGGAATTAGAAGCTGAAATTGAGAAGGATGAGAAATTGAAGAAGATCCTTCAAGATTTGCTAGTTAAGGAGGGCAAACATCCAGGATATAGAGTGAGCAATGGGAGATTATATTACTAGGATAGATTGGTGGTACCTAAAGAATCACAAAAAATCAACTCTATTTTGAAAGAATTTCATGATACAGCAGTATGGGGGGGGGGGGGGCACATTCTGGATGTCAGAAAAATAAATATCAGACTCTAAATCTAGTTGGTCTGTTACAACCCTTACATATTCCTAAACAAACTTGGATTAACATTTCCATGGACTTTATTGGGGGGTTGCCCAAGGCAGGAGAAATGGATACAATCTTAGTGGTGGTGGATCGGCTCACAAAATATGCTCACTTTATTGCCCTGGCACATCCTTACAATGCCAAAGATGTTGCTAAGTTATTTTTAAAGGAAGTGGTGAAACTTCATGGATTTCCTGAATCCATAGTTTTTAATAGGGATAGGATATTCATGAGTTCTTTTTGGGCAGAGTTATTTAAATTGGCTAGGACTAAGTTAAAATTCAGTTTTGCTTATCACCCACAGACGGGCAAACCGAAGTGGTTAGCAAATATTTGGAAACTTACTTGAGTTGCATGACAAGTACTAAGCCTAGACAATGACATAAATGGCTTAGCTGGACTGAATATTGGTATAATACCAACTACCATGAGACCACTAAGATGACACCTTTCAAAACCATTTGTAGTAGAGATCCTCCCCAGTGATTAGAGGAGATAAGGAGATGACACAGCAACATCAAAGAATGAAGTGGTGGTCATGATACAAAAAAGGAATGAAATATTAGAAATATTGAAGGGCCATATGGTGCAGGCCCAGAATAGAATGAAGCAGTAGGCTGACAAAAAGAGAAGAGCAGTGGAGTATAAGGTGGGGGATGTTGTATATTTGAAGATACAACCATACAAGTTGAAGAAATTGGCTAAGAGAATTAATCAGAAACTCAGCCCGAGATATTATGGCCCGTATGAAATTGTTGAAAAGGTGGTAGAAGTGGCTTATAGATTGAAATTGCCTGAGGATAGCAGAGTGCACCCTGTCTTTCATGTGTCCCTATTGAAGGCCACTATGACAGCTGATGTTGTTGTCCAACCTTTACCCCAGTATGTGACTAAGGAGTTGGAGTTACAAGTCCAACCAGAAAAATGTGTTAGCCGTGAAAGGAGAAAGTGATCAATCCTTAGAAGTGTTGGTGAAGTGGAAGAACATGCCTGATTTTGAGAATTCTTGGGAATCCCTGAGTAGAATGATGGAATCCTTTCCTAAGCTCCACCTTGAGAACAAGGTGAATTTTAAAGAAGGAGGTGTTGATACAAGTAAAGAATTAGAGGGACAAATTAGGAAGACCCAAAATGTATATGAGAGGAAAAAGTGGAAACCCATTGCATGGGGTTCACAGGCACATGCACTATGATTCTGTTTCTAATAGAATCGCCTACGAGTTTGTTTAGAGAGAGAAATAGGCAATGAGAGTATAGGAGAAGAGGGCTAGTTTTTGGGAAAAAAAAGGAAGGGGGTTGGCCCTTTTGGGGGGAAGAAGAACGACTTTTCTCTTTGTTTTCGAATATAGAAATAACACGAAGAATTTTTATCTCTTAGTCATTACAGTTTTATTGGGTTCTTTTCAGTTACCTTATTTTATTGTATAACTTCATTTGTATATGATAGCTTGAATGATCTAGATTATATATTTTTTTAATACTTAAATTAATTAAGGAAAAAGAAGTAGGAAAACATAGATGATGTAGATGATGTAATTTTGATCTGACTGACATGATCCTAAACCCAAGTTTCAAGGATAATGCCTTTTTGAAATTTGAACTATGCTTGGTTTTTCCTCTTATTTTATGTGATATGTAAAAATCATGATTCTTGAGGGAAGCTGACAATTCTGCTTTAAATTGCACAGATGTTTATCAATGGGCTAATTCTATGTCAAAAATGAAAATTAGAGTGTGTTTATTTTTTTCAATGGAGACAAGATTACGTTTGGTGGTATGATTCCTTTCCGACTTCTGATTTATTGAAATTTTTGTATATTTTTTCCCTCTGCCTTTTTTAGAGCATATTTCTGTGTTCCTTTTCTTCTTTCTTTCTGCTTTTGAAAATTAAACTATTCGCTTATCATGGAAATCTTTGAAGAGAAATCTTGGGATAAATTAAAACATTATAATATTCATATCATAAGCATATTTTCTTGCATTGCTTAATGACTTGGAATTTGTTCACTAGATTTTTTCTTCAAGTGAAAAACCTTAGGTGTGCTCCTCAGAACGAAGATAGCCTAAATCAACTTAAAACTAGTTCTAAGGGGGAGGATTTCCCAATTCATTATAAGGAGTATTTTCAGCACATACCAAGCCAGTGTAGGATCATAATAGGTGTCTGCTTTATCAGTGTATTTGGTATTACAATAATAATTGTTGTTAACTCTATTTTATTTTATCTCCCGTAAAGTTTATCATTTGTCTCCTAAAGACACATTTTATTCCTTAGGATTTGATTAACAAAGTTGGCCATGCCTTGAGCGAATGGATTTATATTGGTGGTGTTAAAGCTTTTGCTGATGGGTCTTTGGGCTCCAATAGTGCATTACTTTATGAGGTGAGGCCAGACATTCACTTTTTCGGTATAAATTATCTGTTGATAATTTTCGTAAAATCCATTAATTTGTCTGTTTTCTATCATTTTTGTTTTTATAATGGATATGGGTTGGGAAGGACAAGGAGCACCTAAGTTTATAGGGATTGAAATTCAGCATATCTCCTAGGTTAACTATGCACATTCAAATTTTGTAGCCGTATGTTGATGAGCCAGAGAACTATGGTCTACAAGTGACCGAACCTGAAGCGCTTCTCAACATGACCTTGGAATCTGATTTAAATGGTCTACAGGTGACTTATTTATTTGTTATTAGTTACCAAATTCGTGTGTGTATGTGAGATTTCAGTTACCAAATTGTTGATTCATTGCAGGTTGCTATTCATGCTATAGGGGACAAAACAAATGACCTGATCTTGGACATGTATAGTTCTGTAGCTTCTACAAATGGAATGAGAGATCGAAGATTCAGGGTAACATTTTTGCATAAACATAGAAAGCTTCAATAATTTTGGACTGATAATGGGGAGATTTTGCTTCAGTGATGTTTGTTCTGATATAATCATTGTGACGCAAGTTATCAATGAACCTAAACGCTACTTTCAGATCGAGCATGCCCAGCAGTTGGCAGCCGGGACCCCTGGCCGATTTGGCAAACAAAGGGTTGTTGCTTCCATGCAGGTTTTTCATTATCATTATTTTCTTGTGCTTTTGCATTACTATTACTATTATGTATGTGCAAGGGACCTATATGGGAAAGGACATGAAATGTTTTATTAATGGAGAAGAATATATTGCTGAATGAATTCTACAATTCCAAGAGCAATGCTCCCACAAAGGTTCACACAATTGTCCACAACAAAATAGCAGAAATTAACTTTTCCTTTCCACTCAAGCATTGCATGTTAATATCTCTCCCACAACAAATTTCCATTCTACCCCTTATTTATCTTGCTATATGAACTGGTACTAAACCTATCACACTGGAATAACCGCAATATGCAATTAGAATCAGAGGGTTATGTTGGTTCAAATTTCAATCCAGTAACTAAGATTTCTTTTTTACAATTATTCTCTCATTTGGAATTTATGAGTTATCTATTCTTGGTTTTCTTTATTCTAAAACAATTCAAGTGTCTCTCAAATCCCAATAACATAAAGATAAATGCAAATGAAATCATAAAAAAATTTTATCACAAAAATTTGTCTAATTACTGTTCTTACCTAAAAAATACTTAATTTCAGTTGTATTTTTAGATAATATAGAATTTTAAACACAGTCTCTTTCATCGAGGACGAGACATCTTGAGCATGAGATTATGTATTTGCAAATGGTTTTATAGTAGGTCAATAATAGGTGAGACTATAAGCCAACTACATCTTGTTAGTATGGATTTTATTTTAGTTATATCTTTATTTTTTTTTGACAGAATAACCCATGCCTCCGACAAGATCTGTGATATTTTCTAACTACAAATATTCAACAGCCAGATCAATTGTTGGATGATGCTGACTCTACTAGCAGAAAGCTTGGCAAGGATAGGGCAGACACAGAATCATATTTGTTTCGGTCACTCTTAAATAACAATGCATTAGTGGCATTTGGTTCTGACTGGCCAGTAAGTTTGTTGTATTTATTAGTACTCATCACCTGGCAGTTTCATATTCCTTAACAATAGTTAAGAAGTACTTTACTCAACATCATGTCTCTCTTTCACAGGTGGTCGACATCAATCCCTTAAGTGGCATTAAGACAGCAATGACAAGGACACCTCCCACTTGGGAAAGTGCATGGATTCCATCGGAATGCATTTCACTAGATGATGCAATAAAGGCGTAAGCAGCATTAAAGCGCTCCTGTTATTCTGATGTTATGTGATTTGTTGATTTCTTGTCTGCTTGTAATGTATGAGAGACACTTTAGGTGGACAGGTAGTAAGTGGCAAATTTTTACATATGATGAAACGCGTGCTGTATATGTTCATCTGTACTAAAGAAAAAGTGGAATTGAGACTATGAGCCAAAGACTTTGAGGAATATAACAAAAACATCTCTTGAAATTTTGGGGTTGCTGTGTCTAATTTAATTTAATATCACAAAATCAGTCTTTAAGATTAGGATTGCTTCCTACTTTTTATTATACTTTATTTTAATTATATCATTAATTGATGTAATACCTTTTAACACATTTTATTCGAATCGAGAGCTAGATATTTGAAGTGTGAAGTTTGCTAGATTTAGTTCGATAATTATCCAATAGCTAGTGGCTTGATATGTTCATCAATAATTGTTGAAGATAAAGTCTAATACTATCTTAAAATTTAGATTCAATTCTAATTCAGTTTTACAAAATATCTCTATAAACTGAGAATTGTTCCTCGGTGTATATTTTAGTTTGACTATATAAGTAGGCGATGAATGATATCATACTGTCTGTGGATTACCTACTAAACTCAGTAATCATTTGCATCTTAGAAGACAAGTTCCTCAGCCCTCATGCCGATCTTAATTTGGTAGGCAAGACCATTCTAGTGTACGGCTTTTGAATAGTGGAGAGACCACTTCTCAGTGTTTGTACTGTATAGAAATTTTCACCAACAATGCTGTGTTGTTCTTTTTGTTTTTTCTTCTGATAGTGATTACAAGGTGCATGCACCACCACTTCGTGTGATATTTTTAGTAAGTGTACTGTTTCATGTAATCTTCTAACTGCTTGAGTGGTGCACTGGTGCTCTTTCCCTATATGATCATATTCCAATTTGCATTTCATATACATGATTTTCTTTTACTGTTCTTGCATGATACTGAAAAACTCTCTGACCTTGACAGTTACACCATTTCTGCTGCTCGTGCAAGCTTCCTTGACAAAGATCTCGGTTCCTTATGTCCAGGGAAACTGGCAGATTTTGTCATATTGTCCACTGATTCATGGCAAGACTTTGCTGAAGACGCATCTGCATCTATTGAGGAAACATATGTTTCTGGTGTGAGAGCATATCCTTGAAGCCTTTCCATTCTCAGTTAGATGATAACTTTTTGGGTTAACTTATAAACAATTCACTGTTTTCATTTCAGTCCTATATGAAAAAAATGTTTATGAACTAGTTTGCCAACATTATGGTGGTCTTAGATTTTATTTTTCACCTTATACTATGCTCGATAACATTTGGTTAGTTTCTTCATTAAAAAACTACACTTCATCTTGATCACAACCTAGCAAAATCTGTATACCTGATCTGACACTACTTTTTGGTCTCAAAAATCTCAACACTACCAAAATCTCGATAAATTGTAGGGACTGATTTATAGACAATTTTTATTTGTAGGGCATAAAATTAATTATAGCTGCAGTTTTCGGTGTGGATGAACCCAATTGTAGGACAAAAAAGATTTTGACCTACTCAACATCATTGGATTGAATCAAAACAAATTCTAAGTTTCGATTAAAAATAGAACAATTTCTCTTTTTTTTAGGACAGTAATTTAATAATATATATGAATAAAATTTGTTTAATTAATATATAAACCATATTTCAAAATTTTTAATAAATAAGTGTAAGGAAATATTTCAATTTTTTTACTAAAATAATTTATTTTTATAAATTTCTCATCCAAATAGGATTTTTCAACGTGATAATTAATTAGATTTGTTGTTTGAAATGGTTGTTTCAAGATTCATCTTTTATTTTTGCTTTATAAGATATCTGAGACACTTGTGTACAACTTGGAACAATCATTTATACTTCACAAAAAAAAAGTTCATTTTGCTTAAAAGGAAGATACAATAGGAAAGAAAATAAAACAAATGAAGAAAAAAATGGAAGGGTTATTACCTCATTTGGTATTATCCAATGACAAATGATAAAGGGAAACTTCCATTCTCTTATTTTGCTTTATAAAGGGAATAATAGTTAGGAATCACTTGTTTTCTTCTCCCCTTTTAGATCTTAAAATATATATATAATTTTCATGTTATTTAATAATTATTATTTAAGAATCAAATTAAGATGAATATCATTGCAAATTTGAAATTCATCATGGGAAGGTAAGACTAAGTTATTTTAAATTTTATATTACTTATTATTATTATTATTCAGTGTGAATGTTCACAGATTTTGATTAATTAAAAAAAATAAATTAACCCTTTCAAAGTGATGGTGTAAAGTATCCAGGGTTCAATTTCAAATATATTATCAATCTGAATTGAATCCTACAATATTTGTCAAAATTGAGTTGAATGTATGGTAAAAATGTTCTTAAATAAACATGGTTAATAGTAAAATGTTGCAGATAAAATATTATTTTAGAAAGATATATAAAACATTTTATTTTATTTATATTCGAGATGCCGGTGTTTAAGCATCAGATGAAAGTCTAACGTCATGCATAAATAAATAAAAAAATATGAATTAATATATTTAAAAAAATCACATATTTATGATCTTACAATTTTAAATGGATTTATTTTTTAATATATATATTGTTTTATTCTCATTATGTGAAAATACAATACAATGTAGTATGAACTCACATTTAAAGAGGTTATTAGTTGAAATTTAAATTAACGTAATTATTATTATTTTTATCTTTAAAATTGTTGAATATATTTATTTTTCAACTTATTTTTTTAATCGCGGTATAAATTTCAATATTATAAGAAAATGCCACTGTGTGCTACATTGCAGAACCCTTGCAATTCAAGTGCTTTGTTACTATCAATAGTAGCTATTCTATGCCCTAACCCTAGCCTAGGTAGGCCCTAACTTAACCTAAACTTTTTTAGTTTTTACCTACTTTTGTTAAGTACGTACCCTAGACTAGGGCCAAACTACGCCACACCCTCTCTATCTCTACTTTTCTTTCTCTCGTCAATGAATAACCTACAAATTCTAAATTCCAATAATTTATAACATGATTTTAAATATATATAATTCAATTAATATTTTCAATGAAATTTGCATCCAAAAACAATATAATTGGTATCCAATGAATTTGTCAATTCACATCCTCTCAATTATTTTTCTCTTAACATCTACTAATTTGGGAACCCTTCAATTTGATAAGTGAAAACAATTCTTAATGATTCATAATATTTCATTAAAATGTTTTAATATTATAATACTTCTTCTTATTTATTTTAACTGTTATTATTTTTTTATTAACTTAACCGTCACAATTTTTTTCCAATAGATTTTATTGGGAAAATCCAAGTTCAATTTTACTTCTCAGACTATAAATAAGTTTTCATGAACTAAAACAATTATTGATTTTTTTCATAAATTTTTATTTTAGATTAAATTTGATTATAATTAATTTTCTGTACAAATTGTCTTAAGCGTGGGGTGAAATAGTTTATGCGAAAAAGACAAGACTTTGACGCGTGAAGGAATGTTTAAATAAACGTTGGGGATTCCGATTAATAACAGCCACAAATTTTATGCGAATTATTTTTATTATAAATTCTTTTTTTTTCTGAGAAAATTGTTTTTATTTTAATAAATATTGGGTAAATAAAATAATACATGTGAAAGATTCATCTCTTACGATGAGAATTTTAGATTTTTAGTGAGTAATTAAGCTCGTTTACGTTAAGTTAGGTTAAACCATGATTATTAAGATCTTTGAAAATCTAATTCTTATGTAAATCTTTCTTTTATCTTATTAATTGAACCTTGATTAAAAGTTAAGAAATTCGTATTTCATTATTAATATGCGTCTAATAATATGGTTAGAGAGTAACAAAGAATAATATTTAAATAAAAATTCGATTAATTTAGTTTTTGAATTTATATTTAACTTCTTTCTATGATTAAAAATAACTAAGAAATTCTCAATCATTTGAATTAAAAAATTAAAATTGAGATGATATATATATATATATATATATATATATATATATATATATATATATATATATATATATATATATATACATCATGTGCGTATACGACTAACCTAAACCTATGCATGCTATGTATGAGTTGGTGCCAAACCCTAAATATTACGAGACTCCGAAAGAAAAGTTAGATAGAGGAGATTTGGATGAGCTTGCCTAGTAAAGAAAGAATATAAATATTCCATGTATATAAACATTTCAAATATGGAACACATGCAATTCAAATAAAACTATATACTTATAGTAAAATTATTTTATGTTGCCATCTAATTATTAACATAAATTGTTGGTTCATATAAGTAGAATTAACTTTTAATTTTTTTAAACAAGATTTAGATTTTGTTTGGATATATATTTTTCAACATTTTCTTATATTAATATTATTTTTAAAGATAGATTTGTAAAATGTTTTTTAAGATTATAATTGAAAGAAGATTTTATCAAAAATATTGTATTTAAATTTACTTACATTAAAAATTAGTAAAAGAAGAAAAGTTTGTGTCTATTTTTATATGTTTATTTTAAAGATAAATAGTTTTCTGTTCATTTTGAGAAGTAAATCCTATTTATTTTTAAAATAAATATTTGTAACATTAATTATTTTAAAGTTTAGACAAACACTATAAAGAATTCATTAAATAGAAAATGATTTAAAGACTAAAAAATTACTATAGAGGATTGTTAGAGGTATTGGAGTTCAGTATATATAAAAAAAAATTATTATAATTTCATTATATATACCTCCCTCTGGTAAAACTAATTAAGAATATTAGTTTTTATCATCTTTATGATAATTAAAACAAATGTTATTAAATATGAATGAGTCATGTAAAAATATATAAAATAACAAAAGAGTAAACTTTTTTAGTGTGATTTGTTAGCATAAAGGATCTCCGAGGCTAATTATCCCACATAATTATAAACCTAGTTGGACAAAGCAAAGTGCAATGAAGGGTAGGGGGGGCCAACTTTCATCCAGTAAAAATGGGGTGCCCTACACATGTAAGGTGGCTTATAGGTCTTAGTGGATACGGGCTATTTGTTTCCAAGGCCAATTTATGAGGACACTTAGCTAGGGTTAGGCTATGACCATGACCTACATGGACAGACTCTCTAGGTCTATGACCCCATTATAGGCATAGGTGCTACCCTTCGGATCCCCTACCCTAACCTACCCTTCCCTTCCCTTATTTTGTTCTTTCACTACTGTGGAGAATGATCTTAGTTCTTTGCTTACAAAACGTGCTAACCAATGTCCCCAAATTTAATATAGATCAAGATGATATTACTAAATAATCATAATAATTCCTCGTATAGCATTAAATTATATTTTCTTATTAGTTATGTTATTTTAAGTAATAGATACAAATATTTTATATATAAAGATATGTTATATGTATTATTTTATTAATACCTTATATTTAGTGATAGATTATAAATACTTTTCATTTTTAATTTGAAAATTGATAAGTACATATTCCATTTTCTTTTAATTTTTCACATTGAAAACAGAATTAAATTTTTATAATATTTTAAGGTAAAAGTAACAAAATGAAATAGAAATCTCGTGAACTTTTACTGCTATATTATTAAGTTGATTCCCTGTCACTGTTATTTATGTATATATCATTTTTATTAATTCTTTAAAATATCTTATCTTATAATTAAAACTATTTCATTTTTTATATACTGTTTCTTTCCCGAAAAAGTACATTTGGTTTCTTTCATTTTTCTTTCTTGTTATTGTTATATTCTCTCTATATAAAAGAATGTTGAATGTAGATTAATTAATATTTTTATATGGTGATGATTAATAAAATTGAGTTAAAAAATATTGAAATTTAAACTTATGATGGATGACTCGTAACGTTATATAAATAAAATAAAATAAACCTTTCATCGTTGTCTAAACTTGGAGAAATTGAAAGTATAATTCAAAAGATAGTGATACCATTACAAATCTTCCGTATTAAGTAAAAATATGCTTAATGTTTCAAATAAACATGTTTAAAAAAATAAATAGAATTAATAAGAGGATTCAATCACAGAAGTGAGATTAAATATGCAATTATGTTAGGTTAGATGAAATTTAAGCTAACCTTAATATGTAGACACAGTCTTTAATTTTCTCAACAATAATTCCACAAGTTACATTATTTAACAGTAATGTTGTTTACTGAATAAACTACAAAATTAAAACATCTTCTTTCAACGTTCTTATTATTAATAAGGAAATAAGATGATTCATATAAGATTATGTTTATTTTATTATTCAAATATCACATTAACATATGTTATCATAAATACATTAACATTTTTTATGAACAATTAAAAACATATGGAACAAAATTAGAAGGGAATTTAAGTTTTTTTATTTTAATATTCACAGTTAAAAATTAAATCCAAGAATGAATCTGTTAAGTGGAGTTTCAGTGTCAGAAGAAAAAACCTTGTAGCAGTAATGTCTTTTGGCATCAAAACAAAAAACTGATAATAAACCTCCCCTTTCTCAATCCTAAACACACTACACAACACACACCAAATCATCATCATCATCACTCACACACCACACCAGACCACAGTTTCCATCAAAGCGAATCTCAATCTCAATCTCACTCTCTCCTAAGTCCCTAACATTCTCCCTATAAAGCCTCCGCATCCAACTCCAGCACACAACACCACCTCAAAACCATAAACATAAACATCATCAACATTTCAACACCTTGAAAAGACCCTCTAAAATCCAAACCTCAAAGAGTGCTAAAAACTCTGTTGTTTCAATGAACATGTTAGGCCTGAGGGACCTAGTTCTCATAGCTCCAACCGCTTCTCAACTTCACCACCACCAACACCAACACCACCCTATTTCAGCAGAACACCATCCTAATCTTCCCTTGCCTTCTCCGGCCTCTCTCAGCGTTGGCCTCGGCATTTTCCCACTCCTAACAGTTCCACATACCAATGATGTTCAGGTTCAGGTTCAAGACTGTGCCAACAACACCACCAACAACACCACCACCAACACCAACTATTGGAACCTCAAGATGTGTGGTGTCTCAGAAGTGAATTCCACAAGAAAAGGTGTCATGAACATAGAAGATGAGGGGGGCAACAGGCATGTGATGGAGAGTGAGGAAAGTGGTGGTGAGTTTAGGGTGTGCCAGGATTGTGGCAATAGGGCCAAGAGGGATTGCAGCTACAGAAGGTGCAGGACTTGTTGCAAAGGACGTGGCTTTGATTGCAGCACTCACGTGAAGAGCACGTGGGTCCCCGCGTCTCTGAGACGCAGTGCTGGTAATAGTGGTAGTGATGGTAACGGTGACGGAGATGGTGATGGTGGTGCTTCTAAGAGGCTAAGAACAATAGGCTCATCAAAGAATGTTGCTGCTACTTCTCATAGTTCCACTTCCAATGCTACCCAAACAAAGAGCTTTAGCTTAGACACTAGCTCTTGTCAACAAGGTGATTTCACTATCTCTCGTACAATTTTACTGATAGATCAATTAAATACTAATCAAGATTTCAAGTAAGATTTTTAATTTCAGTAATAGTTATTTTTTTTTAGTGTGAAAAATTATACACAAATATGATCAATTTAGTCACAATTGTCGTGATGATTGCTCCAAAATCTTGATGTTACCACTGAAATTGTAGAGACAAACTTTTTGTAAAACCTTGATAATATTTTAAATTGTGGTTACAATATTTTTTTGTAAATCTTATATTATGAGAAATTACAGATAAATGTAACTGATGTGATCACAACTACTTTGCAGAAATCTCAAAAACTTTGACATTATGACCAACTTTGCGTGTGGTGTGAAGATTCTTTTGTAAATTTGATAAAAAAGTTTAATCAAACAAGTTCTGGAAGTGTTTTGATTAATTATTCTAGTACTTGTTAAAACAAGTAAATAAAAGGTTACATATTATTTCTATCTCTGGAACAACTCAAATGTTGTAAAATTTTGGAATTTGAATGTGTAAGTGGTTCTCGTGGATTGTAGATGCTAGTTTCAAGCAATCTTTGCCACGGCATGTGCGTGCACCTGCTGTGTTTAGATGCCATAGAGTGTCTGCTATTGGGAGTGGTGAAGATGAGGTTGCATACTTGGCCACAGTGCATATCAGTGGCCATGTGTTCAAGGGCTTTCTTTATGATCATGGTGCTGATGCCAGAAATGATGTGCCTAGTGTCTCTGAACTGCAACTGGGAAACAATGGAAGTGGAAAGAGTAATAACAGGGAATGTTCTTCTGCAATTGGGGTTCCAACCAGTGCTTACCCTGCTTCTGTTTGCTGAGATTTCTTCAAGGTACAAAATTGGTCTGACTTTACTTCATGTAATATTCAACACCCTCGTTCAAATAATCGTTCAATGTTTAAGCACCTTGAACAAGAAAATTGGTAAAATCTGATTCAGTTTCTTAAGTTATGTTTCTGATTTTAGTGTCTACACTTCAAACAAAGATTTGGATCCTCCTATCTTTTATAACTAATAAATTTGATCTCTCTCCTTTATATCTTAAATTTCATATAGATTGACAAAATTTGCATTATGTTTAGATGCATGTTCATTCAATATCAACATACATCACACTGAAGCTAGAAACTAGCTTCAATGTTAAAAAAATTGAAATTTACATGTGTATGAATTGAAACTAGACACACACTTATACTAAGATAAATTTTAACCGAAAATTGAACAACCTAAAACACGTTATAGAAATTAACTGTGAATTTTACTAAACTTTTTGTGTTGATTCCTGGGTTGTCTGATAACTAGTTAAAAAGTTCACCCTCCTATTCCTTACTAAATAAAAGCTTAGAAACCTCTTGTGTCTCACCTCTTTAGTAACACAGTGACAAATTTTCATCAATGAATTGAGTTATTGGGAGAAGAGTAATCATGATAACAAAAAGAAAGAGAAAGAGAGAAATAGAATTAGCAACTTGTCCCTTGGTACTTTATACAGTGTAGTGTTCATCCTGTGTGTGAGAATTATGATAAGTGTTAGTGCTATGCAGTGTTGGTTAATTTTGTTGTGGAAGGTAGCATGTAGCGTGTACGGTGGGGTTGAAGAGAAGTGGGTAACTTTAAAAATGTCACTTTCAATGAAAGGACAAATAGACAAAAGAATGGATGTAAACTTTTTAATGTGCATTGAGAGTGTGTTGCATTTCCACTACCACATTATCATCTGTGTTTTCATTCATGGGCGTGATAGGCCAAGATTCAACTTCACTTTGTCTGCATATATTATATTTTCTTAGATCTAGCAATCCACGTCAACTTTTGTTTTCATGCAACTTTTCTTTTTGAGTTTTTACTTTTGGTACCATAGGACATTAGAGCTCTCTTATATCTACTTCTCCATTTTTTCTTATATATATTTTAAGTTGTTATATGATGTAAAAAAGTTAATGCATTTTATTTTGAGTTTCAAGTTATTTTATTAATATATTTGTTTTATATTTTTTATATAGCCAATACTTTATTTAAAAAATATATATATTTCATGTTAAATGTTCTTGAACACACCATAGAAAAAGAAAACCCTTTTTAATATGTTTGTAATCATAACATCATCTAACACCAAAAGGGAAATCAAATTATAATGTCTCGTAAGGCCTTTCAATGGTGCTAGTTTATTGCTTTCTTTGTCTTTTGTGTTTTTTTTCTTCTTTTTTTGGTTCATTCGTGCAAATATGGCCATAATTGTGGAAATGAATTGATTATTTTTTAACATCTTATTCTCTTCTTACTATATAAGTAAACTACTCAATATTTGATTTTATTTTTTTAACATAAAAAATATATTATTTTTATGTAGTTTTTTTATGAAATAATAAAAAAATAATATTTAGAAAGAAATATAGCATTACTTTTCTCACACCTAAATTTTTTATATTTTATGTAAATTTTTCTACCATCTTTTCATAAAAATTATTGTGTGAAATGAATTTTCCACAAATTTTGAAAAAAAATATTTTATAGTCTAAAAAATATATAAGAAAAAAAAACCCTATAAAATATAAGTAAATTTGCTAATAATGAAATTCTTTGAGCAGTATTTTCAAAAGGAACAATGAAAATTTCTAGAGAATGTCACATCTAGTAGATACAATAATTTTCTTTTGACCATTCATGGCTATAATCCAGTAACTAGCAACATCACTATTATGTAACTCTTGTATTCTTCTTTATTAGCCTTTCACATATATCTTACTAATGTTTAATTGGGTTGATTTCAATTTTCAATCATGGTGAAGGGGAGAGAAGAGAATAAAAAGCACACTTTATATGAGTGCCAAAATTTTCACTTTGGTGTTGTCTATTTCATTTTCTAGTATACAAAGATTTCCCTAGTTCCAAAATCTTCTTATTTTTCGTCTCAAAATATTGTCTGAGGACATTTATTATTCTGATTTTAGTTTCTTGATTTAGCAACCAATCATGTCTTTACATCATTCATGTCCATGTTTGCTATTGTTGTGAGAGTGAAATGCCTTGAAAAGAAAGGAAAAGACCCAATGAAGTTAAAATTAGGGATATGAAAGAAAGGGAATCTAGGAATATATGAGTATGAAATGGCACACTATTAATGTATTTTTTATTTTAATTTTGTCATCAATTTTTAAATTAGAATTATCAAACAAATTTTTATTAAAAAAAAAGTTTTAAAAAATTGATTACTTTAAAAACAAAAAACAAAATTAAAGAGGCCCTAATACTTCAAATACCAAATTGATAGTTTACTAAGATATTATCTATATTTCAATCGTATTACCTGTAACTCCCACCATTGATTTTTATTGTTGAAACTGAGTTTCTATTCTGTACTTGACAGAAAAGTTTGAAAGATTTATAAACTTTTATTTGCAAAATGACAGGTCATGAAGACATTCTAGGTCCATTCTGCTGTTTTTGCAGGGGAAAGAAACTGATATTATGTGCTCTTTTCTTCTTCTTAATTATTATGTAAATTTCTCTTCCACACAATGTTTATATATTCATATATAGAGGGACCTAGTTTCTATTTCTTGCATCAGAATAGACACATTATCCATGTTGAGAAATTTTATGTTACATTCAGTGTTTAATCAAAGTTTTATTTGATCTCAATGTTCTTAACCAGGTGTTGGTTTCAACTTTATGCTTTGGGAATTATGTTGTAAAAATATTATCTTTTTAAACATGTCTTGTTGATATTTAGTAATTTTGACAAAAGAACAAGTTATTTTATTAAAAAATATGTAGAAGAAATTTTTATAAAATAAAATCAAAATAATAGTAATCATAAGAGTATTTACTGTTTTTTAAATTAAAAAAAAAGTATTTTAAATTTTTTAAAATCATTTAATAATTATTTTGTTAAAATAAATTTTAAAATAGTTTTAAAAATTAAGAAAATGAATAACTGACCAAAAGTGTATTTTAATTTTTTATTTTTACTAATAAATATTCATGTTTATCTTTATAATCTTATTTTGGAATTTCTTTTTATATTTGTTATGATTTTGTTAACTGCGTACTATTTTCTAAATTAATTTAGAAAAAAAATTCTCAATTTTTTTTCAATTATTTAAAATTAATTTTAAAGTATTTTTTGAAAACTAAAAAAATTAAATTAAAGTAAATAAGTCCTTAATATTATTAATAAATAGAGTTAGAAACTTGAAGGGGAAGAAATTTATTCTTGAGAATATGTGGTCCAAATAGAACTAGGACCAAATTCATTAATCCGTAGCCCAAAACAATGTCATTAGGCAAAAAAAATTCAACGAATGAGGGTAGATTAAGTGCAAAGGAAGAACAAAGATGATGCAACATATGGATGTGTCATATTCAATGAAGTGAAGCCTTTAACTCTTCTTCTTCATCAACTTTTTATAAACTCGTGGGAAGATTTTGACTCTTCTGAGATAAGGACATTTTAAATTTTAATTATTTTTTTCTTTCTTAATTATTATTTTTCTTAATTTTTTTGTTTTTTATTTTTTCAATATATATATTATGTGATGCGAGAGTGTATGAACTATTGGTAATAGTCCCTAACAACTAGATGCATTCATTTGAAGTCATAAAGATCACAAAAATGAATTTCAAATTTTCTAAGGTACCCATTTTTCCTTCCCATTTATATATGGACAATAAATTGATTATTAAATATCTCTTTGAAAAACTCAACTACTCACTATCTATATCTTGAAATTGTTGATACATCTTATCCCTTTAAAACCTTTGATTTCATAATGTCAAAGTAAGAATAGAACATGATATTAGGCAACTTTGTTTATTTCAAAGTTTATAACTTTGGACCGCTAAAAAGGATATTCATTTGTCATGGAAATTTAATTATTTCCTCATACTTCTCTACCAGGAAAGAGATAAAAAAAAATTAAAATTACACTCTCATTTTCTAAGATTATACATTCATGTCACCCCACCCTATATAAATAGTTCTATTAAAAGTAGAGATAGGGTTCAGATGGAGATTAGTAGGTTCGTATTTCTAAGAAAAACTTCAGCAAGTAATGTTGTCTCGTGACCCTTTCCTTTGAAGAACTACGCACTTCAACCAAGAACTAAAACCAGTAAATAATGTGGTGCTTAACAAAATATTGTTCAAAACAATTTAGCCATTAAACAAATCTACATGTGCGATTTTCCTCACTAGTTTGGAAGTTCTTAATTTTTTTATTTTTTCTTTTTTAAAGACAATATATATACCTTTAGCAAAAGACGATTCTGTTTAAATTAGACAAAACTATTAGTAACATCAAATTCCTAAGGTTGGTAAGCATGATTCACACATTTATGCACAAAAAAATTCTTAATGCCCTTTCACTTCATTTTCTTTACATGTTTATTCAGCGCTGAAACCCCAGAGGCTCACCTGGGATATGTATATGTGTAAACAAAAAAAGAATAGTTTCCAATGTTGTTTGACACTTTGTGTTGATTCATTTACATTTGGAAAAAAAAAAGCCTTGTTGAGTAGCTCTGAACAACATTGATCTACACTACAACATACATTAGCTGTGACTATTAATATTAAATTCACAAACTGTAAGGGGTTGAAGATGAAAAAATTTCATAAAGATATATAACCCCTTCTGTCTATTATCACAGAATACCCTCCACCGGTGTGTTGCAGGCCATTCTTCTGTGCATGGATATATATCAATGAGCTGGTTAGTGCTGTCACTGCAATTTGAATGTTTTAGTCCTCTACAAAAACTCTGAAGATGAAATCACGAAACCGTCTAGAGTACATCCTTGGATCAACCGCAGATATTGTTGTTGCATCATATTGGAATGATTTGTAAGCATGCTCAAGCTTTTTGCTGATGTCATAGTCTTGTAATATGTCAATGATCCCGAAAAAGATGATGATCTCATATAACTCCCCGGTTGGTTCTCCAACCAGCTGAGGAGTGTCACAACTTCTTCGAACTGTCAATTCGGCCCGTCCCGGCATGTTTATACCTAACTGAATCCACCTGAAACATGCAGAATGTAAATGATTTCAATGTATCCTTTCCTTACTGAAGAGACTATGTGTATGGTGCCAGATAGTGCATGCTTGATGTTTCATTGCATCAGAGCTAATCCACGTCCAAGAAGCAAATATTTATAGCTTCTACATCTTCTGACTTGTTTTGATGTGATGTAAAAGTGGTGAAGATAATGTGATGTAAAAGTTTTAATGCAAGTTTGGTGAAGAAAAAAGTGGTGAAAATAATAGTGTAAAAGTATCAACGATGAACTCAGAAGCAATGCATGATATAATAGAAAATAAACTGTGACATCTGAGTATTGCTGCATGAATATTGTTGCATCATCAAAATAGTAACAGCAAAACAATGCATGCTGCTTTGGTCAAAACTTGCTATCAGAACTATTGAAAATTTGGAATTTCTGTTATGATGTGTTGATGGACTATACCGACTAGGATCTACTACAAGATGATCCACATCCACTCCAGAAAGACGGGGTGCTCCATCATCAATGACACCATTGCCTGCAATGTAAATTCATATAATCAGAAAAAGGAAACTTATGGTGAAAAAGTAATTAAGAAAAATCCATATAAGACAAGATATAACCAGTTGGGGTTGTATTGCCTGGACTGTAACCAGAAGGAGGAGTAACGTTGTCATTACAAGACATTCCTCGAAAGTGAAGACCTACCAACATACTGTAATCCATGATCCTCTCCTGTTCCAGAAAGTCACAGTCCTTATTCACTTGCCTGCACAAAGGAGTGTTAAAAAACATAGTCATATTCTACTGACATATCAGCAAACCATGAGACAAAAGCTGGTGTAATGCAGTTTCCTGCACACACAAGGATGAGACAAGTTATCAGGTACCTGGAAAATTCTTGAAACCAAGCTTTCCGCAACCGAAATATATAATTTAAATCAAGGTCCTTAAGTGTTGTTGTAGGCTCTATTTCTGACTCAGGTTTGTCAGTTGTGCGACCGAAGGTCGAACCTTTCAAGTCAAAGCGCCTATGGATGGCATATTGTGAGCAGAATAGATTTCCCATGATGACAAAACGAACCTGAAATTTATCAAGGATAGTCAATTATATGTTTTCGCCTGAGTACAAGTCTACACAAGCCTCGGGGCATTACCTTCTTCTGTGCACTTCCTGTTAGCTTAACACAGTGGAGACCAAAGAACTTGGTGACTAGAGTGTTCTCAAAAGCCCGAACATGTTTGTAGTAACCAGGGAGCATTCTCAAGAAAACCTGCAATCATTTTATACAGTCCTGAATGAAATATCATTTAGCAAATAATAAAAACTAACCTCTGTAAATTGTAATGGAGCAACAACGGAAAACTAACACGTCAAAGAGACCAGCTGCAATGGTAACCAAGTAACTTCTGAAAAATCTTTTAAACTAGTTCAAAAACATATAGACTTGGTTTAGATAAACTTCTCAGCAAACATTTACAAGAAATAAGAGATAGAACAAACTTTTCTCGTAAGTTAAAATCAGTTTATACACCTTAGCTTTTTAGAAGCTTCCTAATATAAATTCTCTAAAAGCTGCAAGTATATTAATTATTGGAAAGCAAGCTAAGCAAAGTGTATGGTTGGGAGAATTGCAAAACCTCAAAGCTTATTTTCTATCTAGCCAGCCAAAAGGGAACTCACTTTAACTTCTGATTTCTTCATGGTCTTTATCATGTAGCGGTCATCATTAGTCAAATAAAAAAAGCTTCCACTTTTTCCAGGAGATGAGAGCTCCCGAAGTGCATCATTTCCACATAATGATATCATGTAATCAGCAGGATCTACTTTGAACAATTTTCTAAGAGCCCTGCAAATATGGAGGAAAACACCATCAGCAAGAACTAGGAGTTAGGATAAATAAATAAATCTCTACTCTAACACAAAGAGATTCTCTGCGATAAAAATTTACAAGAGCACACTCAACAGGTTAGCAGATTCAGGGTTCATCTAATTCACGAGATTTATAGATTTTGATTAAAAGCTTACCTGAATACTACCGGGCAGTAGTCTTTCCATCTAAACTCACATGAGGGGTGAGGTGGCGTGTGCTTGGATCCTTCCGGTGGAAATTTAGTCCATACTTTTTCTTTAGGATCAAATGCAGAAGACTTCAAATCAAGAGATGTACTTGGAGCAGGTCTTCCAACAGCATGTCTGTGCTATGGCACAAGAAATTAATAACCGCACAGTTAAAATCAGAATCATGGAAATAAATTATAGTTTTTCAGAATGTGATATTCATCATTGTACCACAACCTTAGGAGATGCAAGGTATCAGTCTACCAATGAAAAGGCTGAATGTTTAACTCTTGAGAGAAAAAAATAGTAAATAGCATTAATTCAGTGGAAAACAACTATGATCAAGTACCTGATACCAAGCTGCAGATTAAGCATGAGCTCATAGTTTTTGTGGCCTTTAGAAATAGTTTCTCCTTGTTTCTTTGGAGCCTTCAACCTCATATGTGGCACTCTTGGAATAGAATTATCTACGTGAGAAGACCTTGAGCCCTCATTGGAGGCATAAGAACCATCTTCAGAACTGTAATTACTAACCCTTGCATCCACTGACGCCCACCTTGTCCTCCCATTCACATCAGTTCCCTTCCTACTCAGTTTTTCCCCCTCCAAAATGTTCAAACTCTTCTGTGAAGGGTAAATTGTCACCTTCTCACAAGCACAAATACTGCACTCCACCAAGTCCACAGAGAACAGCTCCTGAGGATCCCACTCCAATTCGCCAACACAAGAGCCAGAAGGGTAATATGTTCCACTTTGCTCTTTTGAATCCCTACTCCAGACCCCGACATAGAAACTCCCATCACCCCACCTGAATGTGCCATTCCCCCTTGGCATCCCATCCTCCCAACAACCATCGTACCTATTCCCATTGCTCCACATCATGGTGCCATTCCCATAGAACAAACCGTTCCTCCACTGTCCAATGTAATGGTTCCCATTCTTCCACTGGTACCTCCCATGCCCATTCTGCATCCCTTTCCTCCACTCCCCATCATAGAAGTCCCCATTGGGATAACTCTGAGTCCCCTGGCCATGTCTCATCTCCATCACCCAACACCCCTTATAGGTGTCCCCAGAAGACCCTGTGTAAGTGCCCTTCCCGTCCATATAACCACTCTTGAAATCACCTTCGTAGGTGGCACCACTAGGCCAGCTGAACCTCCCTTTCCCCGTGATGCCACCCTTTTGCCATTCCCCAAAATACATGCACCCATCTGTCCACAGATACTTTCCCTGGCCATGAGGAGCATTGTCCAGCCACTGTCCTGTGTAGAAGTCACCATTGGGGAGAATTTTCTCAACCTGACAGACAGAATCCTCACCATCATTCCTTGCATCATCATCATCATCAACATGGGCAACAGACATTGGTGTGAAGATGCTGTTTGCCCTCTTCTTTGGACCTGCTGATTTTCTAACTGCTGCTTCCCAAGCCTTGACAAAGCCTGTAAGCTCTTTGCTCATTCTTTTCCAAAAGCTTCAGCTTTGCCCCTCCCACCCTCTCTCACACACATAACCCCACAACACCCTTTTGGCCTCTATTCACCCATCAATGATCATGTGAGAACAATAAAAAAATAAAAAATGAAACACATGTTGTGTGTTGTCGTCAATGCAAAACAATGTTGTTCAGAGAAGGCATTTCTCTGGAGAAGAAGGAGAAAAATTAAACAAAGGGAATGAAAATTGAAAAGAAATCAAAATCCAAAACCCAATGCTAAGTTTGTTTCTTTTCCCCAGATTTTGGTTCCTTATTTGGGTCTGTGAAATGGGTTGTCTTCAGATTTTGAAAGAAACTGGTGCTGTTGGATTGACAGGGAAAGCAAAAAGGTTGGTTGGAACCAGTAACTGGTATTTCTTTTCTTTTTTTTTCTTTTTTTTTCTTTTTCGCCCTTTATGTCTTTGTTTTTTGTTTTTATGTAAATTTTTCTTTTTTTTTTATTTAATCTCCACTTTATTTTTTATTTTATTTAATTTTTGTTTTTGTTGAGTTTCTTTCTTTAGATGGGTGGGAGCAAAGAGATTGAGTTCATCATTCTATTGATTCCGAATTTGGCTCCTAAAAGTAATAGCAGACTTGACAATTGGAAGAATGGGAGAAATGGTGGTGGAGAGCATGTCTGTCAATGCCATTTTTAGCAACTTACTACTAATATTAGCTTTGTCTTTCTTCTTCTTTTCTCACAAAATGTTCACTTTTGCCTTTCAATCATAACATTTTTTATTTTTATTTCGTTTGGTATTTTCCTTAAACCTTGGAACTATTTATGAAATAAATGTTTTCTTATCCTTCGAAAATTATTATCAAAATCCTTTCTTTTCTTTTCTTTTTTTCAATATCAAAATGTACCTATGCTTACGGATTTTACTACAATAAGATATGATTGGATACTACAAAATTGGACAATATAAGTTTTAAACTTTTTTAAAATAATGTAATAATGTATGTTTCTATTCTTTAAAAAATAGAAAAAATAAGCTGATTTTTTTAAAATATTTTGAAATCATAAATTTTAATAAAAATAACTTGTTATTGTTGTAACTAGTATTTACACATGTGCAATGTAGAAACATTGTTTTTTTTTGTGAATAGTTCTGTTTTGAATCAGATAATTCACTTTATACAACAGACAAAATGTGATGCGTACTGTCACCAAAACATTTATTAAAGATATGCAAGTAATAACCCACCTACAAATACTTGCTATTTTCTTAGACTTTTCAAAAGTGAATTGAGTGTCATATAAATTTGGTACCAACCTTTCATGAATCATACCACTAAATAAGGCAATGAGTTATTACACAAATTAACCCTAATATGCGTTTTTTAAATATAAAAACAAACTTGTTACAATTATTTTAATCTACATGCTCTTTCAAACTATTTGTGTGTATAAATTATAAAGGTCACAAAAGGTATTAATAAAAAAATAATTGTAAATATACATAAGTTTATATCATCTTTAATAAAAGTTGTTTATTGAGATATTTAAATAATTATTTGAAATAATTTTCTATTAAAGGAATCTATATAACATGATAAAGAACATCTCTAAATAGAGTTAGTTAAGAATAAAAGTACATATTTTATTATGGATCACATATATGAGTTATTTAAAAGTGGAGAAAATTATTTAAAATTAAAAAAAGATTATTTGTATAAATTGCTTAAAAATGAAGAAAATTATTTAAAATTAAAAAAAAAGTTATTTATATAAATAATTATAACCAAATTTAAAACCACTCAACTGTAACATTTACAATAAATATTTTTAAGTACTTAAATTTTTTTATAATTATTTTATCAAAAATTATTTTAAAATAATTTCACATCATACATCATTCATTTATATTTTTTTTAAGATAAGAAACAACTCATATATATTGTTCTTACTGGATATTAACAACCAATTAATTTTTTTATTGTGAAAAAAAAATGACCAACAATTTTTTAAAAGAAAATTATTATTTTTTAAATAAAATATAATATTATATATAAGTTGGATGTAATTATTACAGATAAAAAAAATTTTATTTCGAGTATTTAATGAAAGAGAAAAGGATTTATGCATCAATAATATAAACTTTATTGAATAATAAATCACGTATATAATAAGTTTACCGACATTTATAATAATGACCATTATAGATAATTATATTATTCATATAAAATATCTATCAAATTTATCGGTAATTAATCTTTAATAGAAAAAAATCTATTTGAATCACTTATATAATATATATCAATGCGTTTGAATAACCAGTATTTATTTATTTTTGCTTAAATACCCAATATTTGGTAGCATCTGTGACAAAATAATTAATTTAGTTTGGAAGTAATGGAGGTAGCTAAAACCATGATTACATGCAGAAAAAGGCCAGAATTAATTAGTATCTGGGGAATATGTGTGCTGGTTGAGTAATTATTGTTCTTCTTCATTATAACTAGTAATCATTCATTTTTTTTATATTTTCTTAGCAAACTTTTGTTTATATATATATGAAGAACATGACAATTTTTCTACACTATATTATTGAATAATGAATGCATCTAAGTTAGTAAAACAAAGTGGATTATATTTTTTAATTATAAAACATATATGAAAGATACATCATTCAACGGTGGAATTAGGGTGTTTCCTTGGAGCCGACCCGAGTTTCTTTCACTTCTTTTGTGGTGTTTTTCAAGAATGTCTTCTTTTGTTGTAGTAAATTTGAAAGTTATTGTTTGGTTTTACTCAATTGGTTGTATATGTTTGACCTTATGGGACTCTATATAACAACTTGAAGGTTTATTCAAAAACAAAACTTGTCAATGGTACAGGGAAGAAAACCTAGTGTGGAGAATATCAATGGAAAATATAAAAAGATAAAAAATATATAAAAAATAAAATTTATAAATATATAAGTAAATATTATAAATATTAATGTAAATTATAAAATTTTTAAAATAATAATTAGATTTAAGATTAAAATTATAAATATTTATATAAATTACAAAACTTTTATAATAATAATCTTTCATTTATAAAGAAGATCCTTCAATCCACGTAGTAAAATTTGTGAACGTGGTGAAGAAAATTGTAAATAGGTGTAGGAGTGTCTCTTTCATATCTTTTCATTATGATGATTCATGAATGTGATCTCATCTAAACAAAATTAAGTGAGATGGTCCCAAACCATACGTGCAAAGCATCCAATTTTGGATTTTAGAAAATGTCAAACCCTAAATATCCATGCATGGCCCCACGAAACCTTCACTTTGATTGCATGTAAAGATGACACTTGTCATGTCCTATCACACAACTATATTCATTCATTGCTACATTATCACGATGGTTCACCACCATAAATGAAAATGCATAGCTGAGAAAAACTATTAAACAGATTTCAAGGAATGAAAACAAAAAAAGATTATTTTGTTGAAAATGTGAATTTTATATGATTCTCACTCTTAGAATAATTTCATTCCACATTAACAATGAATGATTCTCTATAAAGCTTTATTAACGGTCAACCAAACAAATATCAAATTAATTCATTTAATTCCTCACAAACTTTTTTTTCTCTGCTTTGAAAAACATCTTCGATCGATCGTGAGAGGATGGTCACTCTTATTGCCACACCATGACATCTTTTCCACATTTTAGAAAGTAAGAGACACATATATGATAAAGCAAAATATTAGAATAGGGAAGAATCACAATATTTATATCTCATAAAAATGAGGATTTGAATTCCTTTAATGATTAAAGTATTAGAGACACTCTTATTGTTTTTTCCTTCTCAAATATCTTATACATAATGGTGGCATGACATGATGGTAACTAACCTAACTATATGTGTCCACATGAAAATTAGAAGCTCATAAAATAATAATTTAATCCCAACATTAAAAATGAAAACCAAGGACCCCATTTGAAGGGCAAATTAAAAATGGGTCTATCATTGTTCCCTTGTGATGTTAGGTCAAAGTGATTAATTGACCTCTAAGCAAAGTGTGGGGTTGTTTTGTGTTATTGAGAGACACAAAGGGGTTATGTTGTCAATGAAAATGCAGGCAATTTGTTGGTGATTGGGATTGCAAAGAGCCCACAAGTGCTCTAAAATTATTGTGGTTTTTCATTTTGATGTCAACCATGTTAGGGTTTGTCTCCCATTGAGGTAGCTCACACCAGAGACAAATAGCCTTTTGTCTAATTCTATATAGGTTTCGACCCCAAAGGTTGCTTAGAGACAACACCATGCCTCATCTTAGGACAACTGGTCCCCCACTATGTTTCTATTTTCTTTTTTCTATAATTGTGATTGTAGACAACACTCCATTAACAACTTAACTTGGTTTTAGTACTTCTTTTCTAGCTAATATATCAACCCTTCATGTGTCAAATCATATACAACAAATTTTTAATTAGTATATAATATGTAAGTAAGTGTTTTAAAAGTTTTTTTCTTTTTTCACTCTTTCTATAAAAGATGAACTATTCAAAAAGTGGGTTTATCATATAAGAGTGGTTTTTTTTTCATTAGTTTTAAACTTTTATTTTATAATCAATGGCACATCATTTAATAAACATAGGAAAAAAAATTGTTAGTGGGAGACATCTTTTTAATATCTTAATATAACATTTAATTTGGTATATTTATCTTGCTCACAAAGTGAAATATTAGATGAACCATTATATCAAAATATGAAGGAGAAAAAGTCAATAATCTGTCCTTTCAGTGACAAAGACTTTGCAAGATCAATCATGGGAACTTAGACCCTTGATGATTCAACTACACGATTCCTCATGTTTGAATAGTAATCCATACAAATTTTAAGAAAATCTTTACTTCTTTCTAGACAGTGTATGATCCACTCTCTCCCAAAAAAACAAAAAAAGTTTGATCCACTAAAGCTTGAATCGTATATTTTTTTTAGTTATGTTCTTAAACCTAGTAACTAGGTATAACCTGTTTTTTTTTTTTTTTTTTTCACTCTCATGTTCTTTGATTATTTTTTATATGCAAGTTTGTTGCGTGTAAGAAAAAAATATATTTCGATTTAATTTCTATTATAATAATATTATTAAAATATTTTTAAGATTTTAATTCTTCATAATTTTATATTATTTAAAAGATGTTTTAATTGAATAAAGAAAAAACGCGTATATAAATTATTTATGAATTATATACAAATTCATAAATACCTCTTAATCTCATAAAGAGAATAAAATATAATATTATATATAAATTAGTTTGTCTCATATTAAATCATAAATTGCGGATAAATAATATATTATAAATTTTTGATGAAAAAAATTGTAAATTAGTATTGATTAAGGCAATTAATGTTTTTTTTGCATCAACAAGTAAAAAATATTTGTTAAATGGTTTGACAAAAAAATATTATTATTTTTTAAATATAAATAAAATTAGAATATTATAAAATACTAACATCATATGTTTATGTAAGTACAATGCTCTACCCTAATAGTCTTAAGAGTATAAGATAGAATAAATAAGTCAAAACCTTTTTTTATTTTATTTTTATGATATGTTATCTTTAAAATATAATTTAAAATATATACTAATGTTAAAATGTAACTTAAATTACATTCTTTAAATTATATTTTAATAATATTATTATTAATTTAAAAAATAAAAATATCTAAATTATTAATTTTGAAAAAGTTAATTTAATATCAGAAAAAAAAAAAAATCTCTGGCAACAGCTAACAATGTATCAGTTATTGGCAACAGGTTGGCAGCAGCAACCATACCAGGCCTTACACAATAACTATCCGGATCCACACTATATTTAGTTCACTGCTATATATATAATTTTGAACTAATTATCAGTGTAAGATGTTATTCTGAGATGTAAATTAAACTCATAAAAAGTGTTAAATGTTTTTTTGATGTCTTAAAATAAATAAAAATATGTATTTTTATGTGATGGTAAAAAGTTGAAGGATTCTTATTTTGAACTATTTAAGTTAACCTGGTAGATAGGAGCACGAAAAAGGGTGGCTCTTATTCTGCAGAGGAGAATAAAAACAGGTGTGAAATTTAATGTGATAGCAGAGTGAGAATTTGGCGATTATAAGGAATGAAAGTAAAGTGTGAAGAAAAAGTGGTGCTGGTTGCAGACACCAAATTGCAACAAACAAATTTAGACAATTCCTCACTTCTTTCCTTCACTGTGCCTACTCTTCCACACGCTTTTTACCACTTTGCATGCAATTTCACACTTTCAATCCAATTCAAGAATCAAGAATGTGACCCAGAAGGACAATTTTAGCATTGCCAAAACAAAACTTTTTCGAATTTATTTATCTGTTTAAATAAATTTAAAAGAATTTATTTTTTCTGAGTAAAAAGATTGGTTTGAGAAACTCAAGAACCAATCGCTGATTTAACCATATAAAGAAGAAAGGGTTGTGGTATGAGAAAGTTTGGACCAACCAGAATGAACCACCCCTGATGGGCGTAGATGGCAGAGCTAGGGTGGCGGAACAGTGTGGCAGACATGAAGACGCTGACAAGGACACTGTCCCTTACATAACGTCATAAGAACCAATCACTTTTCGAAGAAAAAAAAAAAGAAAAAAGTGAGTGAAGAGGTTGAGTGGAATCTAAGGTACGGCTGAATAAGGACATGGAGATGATAGATACTCTTCATTGTGATATTAAAAAAGTTTAAGTTTAGTAATGTGGTGATTGCTGATTTTGGTTATGACACTACTATCTATTTTGGTACTCTTCACTATTTGATTCGAAAATTTCTCCAATATATTGGTTCAACTTATAATTCGTTTTCAAATCTAGTAAAATTTGAAAATTGTGCTTCAAAATCTAACCAATAGTGAAGTAGAATAAGCCATCTCAATTCACCAACTTAACAGTGTCTTGTCCAATTTTCCGACCCAATAGTTGAAGAAGAAGTTGACATAGACTTGGTATTTTTTTAACAAAATCTAATCTTAGTTATTTCCTATAATTTATTAAGGTTAGCTTGATTGATGGGATATTTTTGTATGATGTTATTGGATTGATTGGATATTTTTGTATGATGTTAGATTGATTGAATGAAATGTTAATTTTGAAAAATAAATAAATGATAAAACTTCTTAAAAAGTTAACATGTGTAAATTAATTTTATAAGGATGAAAATTAAATCTTTAACAGCAAATATTGGTTCATTTTCGAGTTTAAGAGGAAAATTCGAATTTATTTCAAGTCGATTTTATATATTAAAATTTAAAATATTAATATTTTTTATTATATATAAAATTATTTTTTAATATTTTTTATTTATATTTTTTATATAAATTTTTAATTTTTAATGGTTTATATTAATTAATTTATTATATTATTTTTTTATCTTTTATTTATTTATATTTTCTTAATCTCTTTAATCAATTTATTTTTTTTAATTTTTTAATAAATTTGGGAAAAATAATTTTTTAAATATTTTATATAAATACTTAGAGTAATTAATATTATTTTATTTATAATTTATATTTATTATATTTTATTATATCAATTTTTTTTATTATTCTTATTTATCGTTTACCAAATTTTATCTTAATAAAATAATTTTATTTTAAATAATTAAACAAAATTGATAATTAAATTTGTATTATTTTTAATTAATTAAATAATAATAAACTTATTAAATATCTTTTTATAAATTTTATATTTTTAAACCAGAACTTAAAAATATTTAATATATATATATATATATATATATATATATATAATTAAACGTTGAATACAATATTCTTTTTATTTTATTTTATCCTTATTTTTTTTGTCTTATTTTATCTTGTAAATAAATTGATATATTTTATTTTTTATAATTGTTAAAACGGACGATCCAATCTAATATAACATGTCATAGGTTAAGTAACAAAATTTGATAGCTCCATCTTGACCTATATTTTAAAACGGGTAAAATTGTTTTGTTCTGACCCTATGTTAGACCAATGGGTTATCAAACCAATTTTGACATCATTAAATTTTAAAAAATATTGACATATCTTTACAATATTAATTAATTAAAAAATATATTTAAATAAAATTTAAAAATAAAAATATATTTTAAATATTTAAATTTTATTAATAAAATTAATTTTTATTTAAGATATAATGATTTAGTATATAAAGGATAGGAGAATACATCTATTTAATTTCAAAATAATAATTAAAACTTATTTTTTATTATCAGTATTTATTTTTTATAATTTATTAATTTAAAATAGTAATTAATCTTAATAATTAGATATTGAAATAAATAATTATTAAAGATTTATTATAATATTTATTCTTATAGTAAATAAATTCCTATCAAATTAATTTATAATTAATATATATATATATATATATATATATATTAATAAAATAATATTATTTATTTTTATTTAAAAAATACTTATTATTGTATAAAAAAATATGACTTAGTCTCATCTAAGCTCGTAACCTTTTGAATCTGCCCATCCAGCAAACTTATTTTCCCAGCCTAATTTTCTTCTTCTATAAAACCTTGTATAAGTTTTATTCAATTTGGATCATAACAGTGCTGGTTGCTTTCGTAAGGGGAACGAAATACTTCATTGTGCAATTGGGCCTAAGGCCCAAATAGGTCCGTGGGCTGGGAAGAAACATATACCAATAATTGATACACTTCCTTATATGAAATTTACCAGCGTACCAAACTAAATTTAATATATTTTTATATAAATTATTTTTCATATGATATAAAGACATTATTAGTAAGAGAAAAATACACCTAGAATGTGCGTATAATTCATGATTGACTTTTCATACAAAATATAGAAAATGACAAACAATGCCAACGAAGCAATGCTGAATTAATTAATTAAATAAATAAAAACACGTTCAACTTTTTGTTATATTTTATTTTCTTTATCGTAAACACGTTATTACTTAAATATTTTTTAATAAAACTATTACTTAATTACGTGTGGCATGTTATATGATTCTCTGTTTTAATAAAATATATAATTTCTTTGTGTTGTGATAAAAAAAAAATATTCTATGGTATTGAAAAATTATTTTCATGTATTAACAATTAAAAAATACATGGGATTCTATTTCGTAATTTTCTAAATTATTTATTAGTTATTTATTAGGTTTTAAACTTTTTTCAATTAAGTAACTAAATATTCATCTTAAATTTTAATCGAATATTTTACATGTATCTGCTGTTGTGAAAAAATAACTACATGCATGTAATAAAAAAATCACTCTTAAACTTTTACCGTTGAAAAAAAACCTAGAGATTCAATTGAAAATAAAAATGTAAAAAAAGTTAAAAGAAGTACTGTAAAATAAAAACTATAATATATGATCGTTGACTAATGACTATACAATATTACTTCAAAAAAATTGGTTAGATCTGAATATCATATTTAGTTTATTTCTAATGTGAAACCATTCATATTTATAATACATTAGATTTTTTTTTTAATGAAACCTAAAATCTAATAAATTTTGTAAAGTTTAATAAAATTTATGTAATGAAATAAAGTATGTTAGAAGTTTTTGTATTTTGACAGATAATGTGTGGTAGAAGTTCTTTTAATAACATTGCTCTAAAAATTAGCCCTCCTATATTTTTTATGGTAAAAAAATAAGAATAATATTTTTATAGAAAGTATCAACAGAACAGAACATTGTCTAATTTCAAAGCTATAAAATCAAGAAAAGGACGGTAACATGCCAAACTCCCACAAATTTGTAATTTTTGATAAAAGTGTATTAAATGCACGTAAGCATATGATTTTTTCGTTTTTTTTTAATTGTCGATTTTTTTGAAAGATCTATTTTATTTATACGTAATTATAAGTTTTAAATAATATTAAATATTATTGTAAAAGTTATATTCTGATTTTTTTATCTAATTTTAAATTAATTGTATTTATGAAAGTTGACTTATTTGGCCTCATTATGTATTAATTTAAATACGTTTAACATTGAAATAAAAGAAAATATGACGTAAGTGATAGTTGATAGTTAATTAAAGGATCTCGCCGCCGTGTTGTCTCCGTCGGAGGGGAAGAAGAACCACCAAACTACAACTATCTATCTCCATCTATCTCTCATTCTCTGATCTACAAATCACCCTCTCACTCTAAAATCTCTCTCTCTCTCTCTCTCTTTTACAACCCAAAGGTGTGTTTTTCTTCTCCCTTTTTGCCTCCACTATTGTGTTTCCTTCCCTTTTGCAATTTTTCGGCAGACCCAGTTGAGTTTTGTTGTAGTATTGCTGTCACTTCTTGAAATTTAGCTTTGACCCATTTTCTGTTATCTTCTTTTTGATTAACCACTGGGCAGGGATTGGTGTTTCTCAGTGCAATTTGATCTAATTCCTTGGAAATCACCGTGCACCCTTCATTGTTATTGTTGTTATTTTACCGAAAAAGTTTTTTTTTTTTTTCAACCAATATCGATTCCGGGAATCTTCAACGGGAAAAGAAATAAAAATGGAATCTGGGTTGCTTCTGTTTCTGTTTTTTGCTTTATGTGCGTAATGTTTGATTAAATGTGGCTCTTTCTTTAGCCTTTTTTGCAGTGTTTCCCAAGTTTTGCAATTCTATCGTCAATAGGTGTTTTCTTCATTTTCAAAATTTTTACATGCAGTGCCAAGATTATATTCCTAATATTAGATTTGTTTACTTTTTGGTTATCTAATGAGTGTGTGTGTGCGGGCTTCTTGTTTTCCATTTTATTGTTTGAAAATGATTATGTGTTCTTTACATTGGCTTCCAAGAAAAGTTATTTTAGGAGGTAGTTATTGAAGTGGTTGATTAGGACCACAATGTAATTATGTGGCAATTGTCTTTTGATGTAAGTTAATTGCTGGGTTTGTTTCAGAAACTCTTGTTGAATTATAGTCTGATCTGAGCAATTAAACTTAGATCCTCCTTCTATAAATGAAACTTGGTTAGTTCTTCTGCTGAAGAAGTGATAAAGATGTAATCTGATGCAGAGCTACTTGTTTATTCAGAGCAGAGTTTGTTCTATGAAGAATTGAGGGAGGTTCAGGTCCATGACATTTTGAAATCTCTCTGGAATAGGGAGACAGGAATAGGGAGACCATGGGAAGAGTTTCGACATTACTTATAATTTTTATAGTTCTTGGTGCTTCCTATGCCACCTATAATCTGGTAACGATGATAAGGCGCTATGGATATTCGGAAGGTGTGGCTGGTGCTGATGGTGGATTGTTTTTTGACCCCATTATTGAGATGCCTGATCATGTAAAGAATCGGAAGACATTAAAGGCACCCTTTCATGTGGCATTAACAGCGACAGATGCTCCATATAACAAATGGCAATGCCGTGTCATGTATTACTGGTATAAACAACAAAAGAAGTTACCTGGGTCGGAGATGGGTGGATTCACTAGGATTCTACATTCTGGCAAGCCTGACAACTTGATGGATGAAATTCCAACTGTCGTGGTTGATCCTCTTGCGGAGGGTTTGGACCGGGTGAGTTTACTGTCATTTTCCATTATATTTTATTGTTTGCTATTTAATTCAGCTGTTTGGGTTTCAGTTATTGTTAGAATTGATTGTGAGATACCAAAAAGTGTAGGCTTTTTGGACAACGGTACTTTGTTGAAAGAAGTGAAATTATGAGTTGGTGTCAATTAAATAATTGAAAGAATGATATTGAAGGGAGGAAAGTTGATAGATTGTTGCTAAAATAAATTATGCAATATATGTTTGGAAATGATTGGCATGCCTAAATTTCTAATAGTCATAGGGGTCTTTTCCTTTTACGAATATATTGGAAGCCTAGATACTGCAGAGTTCATTCTTCAAATGTTTGCTGGGTCATATTTTTCGAGGTTCCAACTGTTTATAAATAAATCTGATTTAGAAGTTAGTTTCAAATAATGTCAACTGCTTGACACATATTTGAATTTTTTTTGGCTTCTCTGTCCACATTTACGTTCCTCTTTTAATTTTTTGTTGTTGATGTTCTGCCTTTCGAAAAATAGTATATAACTATATGTCTCACTTTGGTGTTGTTTACTATTTTTGCTTTTCTTTCGTCACTACAGTTTAGATGTTGTCTGATGCATTGTATAATTTGTTCACAGGGATACATTGTTCTGAATAGGCCATGGGCCTTTGTTCAGTGGCTGCAAAAGGCTCAAATAGAGGAAGAGTTAAATCTCTTATACTATGTGAATTGCGATCTAGTTTTTTTTTTTTTTTTTTTTGACAAGAATAAAATATGACCTAGTTGCTTTGCTTTTGATGCAGATATGTGTTAATGGCAGAGCCCGATCATATATTTTTACGCCCTCTGCCCAATCTAGCCTACGGAGGAAATCCAGCTGCTTTTCCATTTTTTTACATTAGACCTGATCAGAATGAAAGAATCATAAGGAAATTTTATCCTGAGGAGTATGGACCAGTTACAAATGTTGACCCAATTGGAAATTCTCCTGTAATCATCAGAAAGGTAGAATCTCTTCCATAACTATTTTTTATGGTTGAATTGAATAAGTTTTCATGTCTTATTAAACAATGTTATTGTTTGCTGCTTCTCTAGAGATCTTAATCTCTAGAGATCTTAATACCAATCCATTTCATATTGATGATAGACCTAGCTCAGAATCTAATGCCAAGAATGAATTTTGGTTCATGGATGGATCCTATATATCAATTGTGCCAGTGTGGTAGCAGCCTTAGACTAGGTTAGAGTATAAAAAATGAATGATTTCCTTGGATATTCGAGAGAGCAGAACTCTCCGCAGTCTCTAAGAGTCTTATAATTTCTGAAGTGATAAGATTATTTCTCTCTCAACTTCCCCCTCTTTATTTATATCCAATATGCCTTATTTTTCTACCATCTCAGCAGCCCTTTTTTTTTTTTTTTTTTTTTCAGGATTTGATTGCAAAGATTGCTCCCACTTGGATGAATGTTTCTTTGAAGATGAAAGAGGACCCAGAGACTGATAAAGCTTTTGGATGGGTGCTAGAAATGTATGTTTTACGACATAAATCATAATGTTGCAGATCATTTTCTTCTAGATGAGGTACTGAAACTGATAGTTTGATGCTTTATGTTAATGGTTTTTCTCTTGTGGAACCAAGGTATGCTTATGCTGTTGCATCTGCTCTCCATGGTGTGAGGCACATTCTGCGAAAAGACTTCATGCTTCAGGTTTGGCATAATACTATGTCTCTGGATGTTGTGTGTTTAATTTGTGTGTTATCAGGTCATTTGGTATCAAATATGACAAGCATACCCAACTCTAATTTTACTTTTCTTGTCTGTGAGTTTTCAGCCCCCCTGGGATCTTGAAACTAAGAAGAAATACATACTTCATTATACTTATGGGTGTGACTACAATATGCAGGTAAAACATTTCTTTGCCCTGAATTGGATAATTGTGATCTTCAAATATTCATCATAAATTTGCAGTCGGTGGACATATATCTGAACTTGTCGAATCTGCTTTATCTCTTGCTATGCTATGGAACTTTGCTTTAGTAGATATAGTTTTATTGAAACACTACCTTTTTGTCATCTATTGTGCATTTCTCCTAGTTGTCTCAGTAGTGTTTCGTGCATGATGCTCAGGGTGAACTGACTTATGGCAAAATTGGTGAGTGGAGATTTGACAAAAGGTCACATCTGCGAGGACCTCCACCAAAAAACTTACCCTTGCCCCCACCAGGAGTTCCTGAAAGTGTGGTATGTCTAGGACTTGCCTATTGATTCAATCACTTCATCCTATCTTATTGGAATTATATCTAGCTAGAACTGCTTTCCTTGATGCATGAGACTTAACATAGAACTTACATAAGATCCTATGATAAATTCTGTCCGTAATTTCATACTTATCTTCATTTTACTTACCGAAAGGTCAGAAGAAAGCGGCATTTTTTTTCATTAGCATGCATGTATAACTGTCTGAATGTGAATCAGTAATGAAAGCATCTATATCTTAGATGTTTGTACACTGATCCAGTCATTGGAATGTTTTTATTTTCAATTCCCAATGGTTCTTATTTTATGTAGTAGGGGTCCTTCATATACTGAGATTCTGCATGACATGAAGTTTGATGGTGTGTGGTAATGATCTGACAAGTGCTAGTAATGGAACTATTTGTAAATAGTGACATGATAATGAGACTTGATGACAGTTATATATATATATACCACTAGCTTTGGTTCTTTCCAATCCTTCTTGTAGTGCTGTCTGACATCAGGATACAATAAAGATCATTTGTTATCAGATGTATTGGCTAGATAGATAATTCCAAATGATCTTCTTGAAGCTAGATCTTTCAAATTCTTGTTTCCCTCATCTACCATGGTAATTAATTTTTATTTACACTTTTATTGGAGGAAGTGGTCAAGAGGGATTTCATGGACAAAGACCCTCTATCACATATCTTCGTGAAGAGCCTTTGGAACCAGGATACCCTAGTTTATTGGTATTAGGATTATTAACTTTAGGTTTATCCTTCAAGCAATACAACCCTGCATAGTGCAATAAGCCCATTTATATGTTTTACCAAGCATTGTCAAATAAGCCTGAAGGTAGTTTTAGTCTCTGTCCTTAATAGCAATTCCTTTTGTGTCATCTTAATAGCAATATTAGATGCAAAACTAGCCTTTAGAAAACGTGGTTGTTTAGTAGTTAACTAGTTTAAAGAAATTTTTGCTTTAACTATGTCTTTGTATTTGGTGCTGTCAAATTTTAGTGATGTTCTAATGTCTACTTAGAGGTCTTAGTGAATTTGTCCTTAAATTGATGCTTTTGTTGCTTTCTTGGTTGTGGTTGGTTCCTTTCCTCTTTTATCACCTCAGTACTCAATTTTAAGGGATTGTTAGGTGCTTAGGATAAGATGAAGATGGATAAAGTAACACAGTAGGATAAAAATAGTAAGGGATATGAGCCAACATAAGACTTGAGAGTAGGATAACATACTAGAACAAAAGTGTTACTGCTTCAACTTTTCTCCCTTTTTATTCAGTCTTACACATATTTAATGTATCAATAAAATGTACAAAATCGAAAAATATAATAGTAAACAAATGAACAAAAATAGGCTATACAATTCATAAAAAATGATGATAATTAAGTGGTAAAATGTACAATTAAATCTATTGTTATCCTATAACAAAAACATAATAGAAAGCATTATTAATGTGTTATTTGCTTATGCTAATTTGTGCAGGTGACCCTTGTAAAAATGGTGAACGAAGCTAGTGCTAACATCCCAAACTGGGACGCATCGTAAATATTTTCTCACTTTATCACGTTATCCAAGGTTCATATTTTGAAAAATAGAAAAAAAGGATAGACATTGAGTCTTTTTTTTTGTTCCCGAATTTAGTCTTACAATCATAGATTAATGTAAACTATACCCCTTTATATGACAATTTAAATGCAGGATGAATCTTTCATTCTTCTTGAAATGTATTTGTTCAATAAATATTGGCTTCGAAATTGTTTATGTACTTCTGGACACTCCCTTGATGTGAAAATTCAAGCTTGAAATTTCAAACTTTTATCCTTATATTTGCATGTTGACATTTGATACAAATACTGAACACAAATATGACATTTTTAAATATTTATAACAATGTATAAAAAAAATAAAACAAAGGTTGGGGTTTTATAAAAAAATTTGTAGCATTTAATCAACATTTTTTAAATATTAAAAAAATCTTATGGTATTCAAAGCTTACGTGTCATTATTTTATTTTATTTTTTGAAGTTCTAGAATTCAAATCAAAATTATCTTTAATTTTATAATTAAATTAGTGTTATAAACAAACAAGTATTTTTGAAGTTATACACTTAAAATAAATTTTATTTTCAATTTGTTAACTAAATTATTGTAAATAAAATTATATAAAAACTAATTTATTTAAAATAAAACATAAAGTAAATGATAAGATGACATGTTTATAAAATGGGTCTGAGAAGGTAATCCTCTAAAATACTTTTTTGAGATATATAATATTAATTTCTTCTTCATTATTTATTTGTCTACAACTTGTATTTTTATCGCTCAACACCTCCATATATTACTATTTTTTTTTTACTATCATTTTTATTAAAAGTCTTTTTTATAAATAATCGTTAATATTATGTATTAATTACTTATTCTGACACTTAAATTATATAAACAAACTTAAATTATTTAATTTTATATAGAATCATAAAAATGAAATTGAATTCTGAAAAAATCAATCTAAAAATATATTTTGGATTGAGTATTTTGGACTGAATTTCTAAAAATGTCAATCTAAAAATAGAGTTCGAATTAAATATTTTTATATTTTTGAATTAATTTCTCTAAAAATACATTTTAGAAATGTGTTTCCAAAAATATATTATGGATTGGATATTCTAAAATGTATTATTAAAAAAACTTTTTAAAAATGTATTTTGAAATAGGTATTTCATAATACTTAAAAAAAAACATTTATAAAAATATATTTCATATTCAATATTCCAAAATAAATTTTTAAAATAAAATAAATTTTAATACAATTACATTGGCAAGGAAAAGTTATAGAATGCACGAAACAGCAACCGATAGATTCGTTGAGGTAAACCGGCCCGTTTAGATGGCATCGTCGTCAAACAATGTGGCACCAGGTAACAGGTACAATGATGTCATTATAACATCATCGTACGGTTGTGCGGTAGCCAGCGCGTGCTTTCACTTGTGACTGTCGGCAGAAGAGTCACTTCCGAGCAGTCATTTCACGTGAATCTCAAAACAAATTTTAATTAATAACAAATTTTGAAAAAGGAAAAATAAATAAATAATTATAGAGTGTGTCAAATTTAAAAAAGGAAAATTAACAAACTTCCCTTTCAATGTTTCATAGTAATAAGATTTCAGCTTTGTAGGGTTGTTAAAATAAACATGTAATTTTAGTCTTTCACTTAATTGCATCACTTACGTTTATTAACTATCTTAATTAGAAATTTTCAATCTTACAAATAATATTATCATAATTATTAAAAAATAAAATTAAAGAATTATAATATTTAAATAACCAAATTAACAAAACTAAAAATTACAAAAGTACATATATACAATACGTAAAGTTCAAATAACACAATTTTTTTATAAACTTAATTTGTGTTAAGCATTTATTAACTCCATCCATAGTCAATTTTTATGAAAAAAATGATTCACCAGTTTAGTAAGATTGCTTTTTTCAACCACCTTTTATCTATTTATAATCCTCAAATTTAAAACCTTGCTTAATTCAATTTCACTTCAACCAACTTTTGGTTCGTAATACAGTTTCAACTTTTGAACAAAAATTTTATACTTAAAAAAAGAGTGTCCAAAAATTAATAATAAACGGTGGTGAAGATAGTGTGCAATTAAGATGACAAGTGTGACATTGCATTTGTCACGAACGCTTCTTTTACCTTCCACGTCTGCTACACTTACACCTTTTTTCACTTGTCGTTTGGCCAATCAAATACTTTGTAATTGAATAAATCTAAAAAGATTGCTGATAAAATTTGTAAATATATTTATTTATAACATTTAAAATAACAATAGTACATGATGAAACATACTGTTCAACATTAAGATATTTTTCTACAAAGAAAAATAATATAGTTATCTTTCTAGTATGTACTATGAAAAAGAAACAAAACATATATGCAAAACATAACAAAACAAGTTTAATTTTTATCATAAAAATTAATAACAATTTTTTATAAAATTAATAATACTTAAATATTATGGTCTAATTTAAAAATAAAATTAGTTATCCTTTTTTATTTTCATTAATTATCCAATTTTGAAAAGCGAAAAAAAAAGAGAGTAGGGGACCGTGGCCCATCAATGTGTCCTTCATAAAGAGTTTCGGATGTGACTTTTATGAAAACTACTCCTACAATAATACCCTTTAGCTGTTTTTTTTTTTTTCATTTTTTCTTTCTAATAAAATTCAATGTTGAGATCAAGATCTCACTTCCAATATTATATTAATGGAGTTTATAAAACAAACAGAAGAGATTAAGAAACAGATCACCCAATGTTCAATCTTGTCCTCTAAGTTGGTGTCTCATAGTGGGAACATGTGTAAGGTAGTAAATTCCTTTATATCATGAGATACACACTGAAACATTTAAAATTTTATGTGCTGAAACACTTATCAACATGATTTTTGATGATTGTGTTGAACAATTGATTTTAAATCTAAAATTATTGCTGAGTTAAAATAATTTCAAGTCATTTTAATGTTGAATTGATTTTTTTGTGATACTTGTGTTGTTAAATTATTTTTAAAATAAAATTATTCATATATAATTTATATTATATTAAAACTAATTTAACTAAAATAAGTTTAGCTCAAAGTTAGTTTTAAACTATCATCCAAATATACACTTTGAAATTTTTATTTTTTTATTGATTTTTAATTTTCCAAAATTTTAAATCTGTATTCATTCCAATAGAAAATGAGAATAACTTTTACAAAAATTACTTTAATAGTCCTTGATACCAAATGAGAATAAAAATTAAATGAAAAAAGATTAAGATAAATGGTTTTTGTAAACTAAATAAATTAACAGAAGATTTTTAAAAGCCCAAAAATTAAATCATATTTATGTAATTGATTCATGCACATGCCTTGGATCTATGGATTCATTATACTGACATAAGTCAGTTTTGGAACAAATTCAGATTTGTGGCGAATGATAAAGTCTTAATGCGTTTTTGGAGGGTCCTACTCTGAAAATAATAGTGTTGTTTGAATCTTATTATCCCTTTTTATTCAACCTACTAAAGTTATGATAACTGAGATTCTTAATCACTTTTTGAAACCAACCTCGTTCTGTGGCATAATAATTTTGGCTCTAGGGTTTGAGATTTGGTTTCATTTTGGTTCCAACGATGCACCACCCTAGGCATCACTTTACCCCTTTTGTGATGCAACTTTATTAAAATATTCCATGGTTTATAGTCTCACTATAAAGAGAATAGAATATATTCTCACACCTTCTAACGTTAATGGAAGTAGCAGGGAAAGCATAGTGCATTCATTTGCTCCATTGTTTTATGAGCACTTCATCATAACCATTCCACAAGACACAACAACACTTTAACCCATAACATGTCTTTTTTTTTTTTTTTTTTTTTTTTTTCAGTTCTCGAAACTGCAAATTCCAACAACATTATTTACCATTACTTGCTTGATCAATGGACAGAGATACCCAATGTGAGTCCTCCAATGATTCTGCTATTAGAAACCATATCATTGAGTTTGAGGCATGCATTCAACTATTCATGCTTTAGCCACATAGTTTCCCACAACTTCACCTTTTTTTTTTTCCCTCTCTTTATTACAAATTCATGCATTACAGAAACATCTTTAGCCAAAACACATGTCACTAAAACATATAGTAGCCCACAACTTCACACTTTTTTTTATTCTTTAGCACAACCTCATGCAATATATAATACTTTTTACCCAAAAATCATGTCACTGAAATGATATTATATAAGGGTTGCTCCAAGTTGAACCTTTCGGAAAAAAAATTGGCTCAGCACACCTACAAAACCAAATGGAATACAGCCTGTTATCTCCACTATATTTGTACCAATGTTCTTTCCTTAATATAAAAAGTTTATTAAGTTTGTTATTTTGATATTTTGAATTTTTTAAGGTTTGATATGAATGATAGAGAAGTAAATTTGTGTTGGATAAAATATTCAATATTAATTTATTATAAAAAATCGATATTAATTTATGCTAAAAATTACAAAATTAGATGTAAAAAGATTTCAAAAATAATAGAAAAAAACATAAAATTTATATTAGGTGTGTCAATACTTAACATAAATTTACATTGAATCTTATATTAACCAAAGTAATTTTACGTTGTGAGCTGATATAAATTTATATTGAGTATTGACATATTTGTTGTAAATTTTAAGTTATTTTTTTAATATTCATTTATTTTTGCTTACAACAACAACTTACGTAAATATTTTTAATATAGAAAATTCAGACTACAATACTCCATATCATATAAAAGGTAAATTACTTAAAGTACTTAAAAATTAAATTATTTAAAAAAATTAAACTACTTAAAAGTTAAACTAGTTATAAGCTAAACTACTAAGATGTTAAACTACATAATAAAATAAAAACTAAAACTTACAAACTAAGTCTTAGAAATAAAAAAAAAAAGTCTTGCTCATTGCCTTCTTATCTCGTGTCATATCATCTTTTGATAATGGAAATGAATCTTGAAAGACCTGAAACATTAATTTAACTTTTGTTAACATGTAATACTCATAAAGGTAAATAAAACTTAACAAATGTTGAAATGAATTATCTTTGTCCAAGAATCAATAATACCCGCACAAATTATGATTCTCATACATGATGCAGTAACCACATTCATAAGAGTTTGTTTGCCTGTTACACTAAAATATATAAGAATCAAAAGAACAATCTTATTTTCAAAGTTTATATATACAAGCAATAATCATGATCTATGGTTAAATAACTTTATTACCTTATGGTAAATGAAATAGAAATTCTTTGTTTTGCCTCTTTCACTTAGAATAATACTTATGGACAAGATTCTAATTGAAATAAAGGTAAATATTATTCAATATATATATACACTTTTAAAACATAATAAAAAAGGACAAAGTTATCCTTGTAATATGCTTCTCATTTCTTGGTTGGGTTTATGGTATAATGAAAAAAACTTCACCATGATGTAATCATTGAAAATTTCTATAATTAACTACTCATGAATCCTACATTACATGAGATACAAATTAGTTATAAAATTAAAATGATTAAAAAATATAAATTAAAATACTAACCCTTTAATGTATGAAATCAAGTATATGTCTTTGTGAGTCACTTATCCATGTTTGCATATATTGCTGAATTTGGATATTTGTATTCCTAGATTTTTGGATGTATTGAGACTTAATAAATCTATACACTTCTGATTTTTCTTGCTCAATACTCAATTTGTTAATGTACCTAACAAAATAAATGATAAGTTAAATATAATTATTGTAATGTCAAAAACATAAATGAAAATTGGTTTACATAATCCACAATTGTATGATAGAAATGTTTAACATGCATTTTCCCCTAAAATATCTGTTTCGGGAAGAAAATGTACAGCGGAACATCAAAATTTTTAACTCCAAAAGCATAGATATAAGATCACCTTCAACTTTTGTCATGTCATCATCAATAACATGTTCTCTCTTATTGATTATCACAATGAATAAAATCATAAATAAACGATAAAAGTTGGTTAAACATTAATGTAATTATAAGAATACAAAAGGGAAAGAAGAAACACAATATATATTACCTTTGTTCATCAACCACTGTCCACGTCTAGTCTTGCTATAGAGAGACACCATGAATGATTAAATCACCCTAAAAAACTTTATCAATTGCCATTATATGTGGGGGGTCATCTTCAACATACAACTCACATTGGTTTGGTGCATCAGTGAATATATTCTCCTGAGAAATCTGTAGCAACAACATAACTTTTTTTAGTGCTGACTCGAACAACATTATCTTGAATTATATAAGATGTTCCTTGAGTTTGTTGCTGAGAAGATTTAGTTTTTCTCCAAACTATATCTTCATTTTGTGCAAGGTCTCTTGACTACAAGAATCAACAGTTATCCTCCGTAAAACCAAAGTAAGCACGAAGATCCCAAGATCCACCAATCCCACGTACAATCCTACGTGCTACGGTCTTTCTATAGTTCTCGTTAATATGTCTTATCAACCATGAAGAACAAATGATCTTTTAGTGACTTACTCAATTAAATAATTCTGTAATACATTAATAATAAGTAAGTCCACACTACATTATGTATGAATCAAATGAAATTGACATTGTAACTTTCGATTTTTTTTTAGCGATGACTCGTACAGACTCAGAACTTATTTGTTTATCAGATCTTGTGCAAGTTGTCTTTCATATGTCATGGAGGGGGGTGGGGGTGGAGATGCAAAGTTAGTAGACTCAAGTCCTACTAACTTTGCTATAACTTTCATGAGTCACTACTCCAATAATGCATACCCGTCACATAACAATAGATGAGATGTATCATTTAACTTTTATCGTTTCTGAGCAATGACTCATGAAGGCTAGTGCAGAATCAGTAAGACTTGAGTCTGTTAACCTTGCACCTCCACCCTCCTAATATAAAATGTGCAAAACACCTCATACAAGATTTGGTAGACAAATGAGTTATGATTTACACGAATCATTGTTGAGAAAATTATAAGTTACAATGTCAATTTCATTTGATTTTCATGTAATGTAGTATGTGACTTACTTACTATTAGTGTATTGCAGGATAATTTAGTTTAGCAGACCACTCAAGGATCATTTGTTCTCCATGGTCGAGAAACATATTGACAACGACTATAAGAAGACTTGAACACCTAGGACATGTGCGTGATACTCGTGGATCCTGTGACCTCCATGATTACATTGGTCTACCATCACAGAGATAATTGTCAACTCTTGCAACTCTTGCAAGTAGGCAACCTTGCACAAAATAAAAATGATTTGAAGAAAAATTAAATCAAATACGACAATCCTTGCAATAAGAGTTTGATGAAAAAGTTGAATTTTTTGCTCGTTTTCAACAATAAACTTAAGGAACACCTTATATAGTTCAAGATGCTGCTGCTCAAGACAACATTAAAGAGAGTTGTGCTGCTACTGCAAATCTCTAAAGATAATATACTCATACTGACGCACTAAGCCAATATGAGTTATATATTGAAGATGACCCCCACATCCAGTGGCGGATCTTCTTGGGAGCTGAGGGGGTCGTGGCCCCTCCAAAGTTTTGTAACTCTCATGTAATTTATGATTTTGGCCCCCCCAAACTTAATGAACATTTAATATAATTACTTGTATATTTACAATTTTATCCTTCCAGCCCCTCCTCAGTTTTGTAACTCTCATATAATTTATGATTTTGTCTCCCTCAAACTTAATGATCATTTAATATATTTAAGTATATATTTACAATTTTATCCTTTCATCCTTTCATCTTCTTACTTCTTTTTATATTTATTTATTATTTATTAATAATATATTATTTGGCCCCTTCAAGATCAATGGTCAAAATCCGTTCTTATTCACATCTTGTGACAATTAGTCAAGTTTTTTTACAGTTGACTTAACCATTCTTAATGTCCCTTTACAGTTATTAGCCCATGATGAAGTTCATAATGATGCTCGGTCCAATGCTTGTGTCTAATATAAAGGTTCAATTAATGTGATAGAGAAACAATATACTCTTCACTTAAATAAGATGTTTGATAACGTCACTTTTTAACATGATAAAAAATAATATATATAATATTATTTTATTATCAATTTTTTATATATTTATAATTAATTATATTATCTTATATAAATTTATGTCTTCCACAAATCTTAATCTACCATAAAAAATTTAAAATAATATCATAAAAAAACATCTTTTATAATAATATCATAAAATTTATTATCTCTCTTTTTTCATCAGTCACCTCACCTTCAAAATTATACCATCCAACTAAGTCTTTTCTTGAAATAAATAAAGTTCCCACAAGGTTTTATTATAAATACACATTAGAAGGTATCCACCACTAAGTCTCAACCTCAGCCATGATAATGAAAGCGTCACCTATACTCACTCCTTTGGTGTTCTTCCTCCTCTTCTCTCTAGCCAAAGGGCTGAACCCCAAATGTGATGGCCATGACCATGGCTCAACCCTGAAAGTGTTCCATGTGTTCAGCCCATGTTCCCCATTGAGGCCCCCAAAGGCAATGTCATGGGAGGAGAGTGTCCTACAGCTAGAAGCCAAGGACCAGGCCAGGATGCAGTACCTGTCCAGCTTGGTAGCTAGGAAGTCAGTTGTCCCAATTGCCTCAGGCAGACAAATCACACAGAGCCCTACATACGTTGTGAAGGCCAAGATTGGCACCCCAGCTCAGACCCTCCTCCTGGCCATGGACACCAGCAGTGATGCTGCCTGGGTTCCTTGCACTGCCTGTGTTGGTTGCTCAACATTAAAACCCTTTTCCCCTCTCAAGTCCACCACTTTCAAGAAAGTTGGATGTGGTGCCCCTCTCTGCAAACAGGTGATGAGATCAACAACAACATTTCTTTTCATCATAATCTTTTCCCTTTTTTTGTCAAAATCACAAACATTTCTCATTTACCATATTATATCTAAACAAGCACACATCTTTTTCATGCAAAAATTGTTTGCTCTCTAGATCTCGTAGTTTCGAGGAAATTATGAGTTCAACTATAACTGGATTTATTTTCTGCCATAACATTATGAATAATTCGTTCCGTAACATCATTAATTATAATTAATTATATTTTAGTTCATTATACATGTAAACAAGTTATTTTAGGGAATTATTCATATATGAGCAGGTTTTCAAGTAGTATTAGTTTAGAGAAAAAAAAACGACAATTTTTGGATGCAACTACAAGACATTTTCAAAATAAGGATTTGAAACATACATCAATCAAATGTTTAGAATGACCCAAAAGAATATTTCTTTTCTTGTTTGGATAAGGACAAAATGTTACGTGAGCCACCACTAAACACCGGATAAGTTGTATTAATGAAAAGTAAATATTAGATATAATACTATTTATGGGGTCTTTTTATCTGATCAAATTTTCATTTTTTTTTGGAATCAACACCATGAATATTAACATCTGAGATTCAGTATAAATTTCACTCTAATTTCAATTAAAATATATGCCAAAAATAGTTAAAGTATTACATCTAATTTTGTTCTTTACTTTCACAATTATTCCATGAATTTTGCACGCGCCACCTTCTGCGCGTGGGAATGACTAAACCATGAACATTCCAAATGCATTAAAAGCTTTATCCTAGAAGTAGGTGAATCTAGTTACCTTGGGAGGCAATAAAAAGTTCACGAGACTTACCAAAATAATGTGAGTTTTCAATTTTCTAGGTCCACATTACATAACTCTAAGCCGGTGAAATTTTCAGGTACCGAACCCCACTTGCGGTGGAAGCGCGTGCGTTTTCAACTTCACTTATGGCACTTCCTCTGTGGCAGCTGGTCTTGTCCAGGACACAGTGACCTTAGCCACTGACCCAGTTCCGGGCTACACTTTTGGGTGCATTCAGAAGGCAACAGGGAGCTCAATTCCACCACAGGGGTTATTAGGCCTGGGCCGAGGCCCATTGTCACTCTTGGCCCAAACCCAAAAGCTCTACCAATCTACATTCTCCTACTGCTTGCCCAGCTTCAAAACACTCAACTTTAGTGGGTCACTGAGGCTTGGGCCTGTGGCCCAGCCCAAGAGGATCAAGTTCACCCCTCTTCTCAAAAACCCTAGAAGGTCATCACTGTATTATGTGAACTTAGTGGCTGTTAGAGTTGGCCGGAGACTTGTTGATATCCCGCCGGAGGCTTTAGCATTCAACCCCACCACCGGTGCCGGCACCATTTTTGATTCGGGTACGAGATTATTTTTAAGCATAATTAATTTAAAATTTTGAAAGTATTACCATTAAAAAATCAAGTTGGGAATAATTTTAAATTTAATTATAATAAAAGTAAGGGTGATGATCTTTTGACAATCGAAAGAAAAAACAATCCAAAAAAACAACCTATTTTATTAATATAATAATCATGAAAGAGTTTAAATAAAAATAAAAAATAGTTAAAATTATTATTATAATATAAAATGCAGTTGTTTACGGGGTTGTTTGTGTGAATAGTGGTGTCAAAATATCTTTTTCTTAAAAATAATAAATTAACCATTTATAATGATTTTTAAATTGATCCGTAATCGTCAAATTTCTCTTAAGAGGGATTTTTTTTTAAAATTTATTTTCAAATAGGAAAATGTCTGTGCTATCGTTCATTATATTGGGGTTCTATTGTTTCAACCTAACACTATTGACCAAAGTAGTGATAGAATGTCATGAAATGTTCACATGATGGATTTCCTCTTTATTATTATTATTATTATTATTATTATTATTATTATTATTATTATTATTATTATTATTATTATTATTATTATTATTATTATTATTATTATTATTATTATTATTATTATTATTATTATTATTATTATTCCTCCCACTTTTACATCCAAAACATGGAGTGGTATCCTGAATAATTGAATCATTTTCTGTCGCAATTTTTAAGAATGAACATAATTATATGATATGTTCTACTGTATGAAGACAAGATGGTCAATTTCAAGACAAAATTGGAGTCAAAATGTTTCAAAAGTGATTGAACATGGTCACTTTCGTACATGCTCCACATGTCTTTTAAATTAAAACTTTAGCTAACGCATTTTCATTTGATTTTCTCATTAAATACTAAAAGGTACGGTGTTCACCCGGCTGGTTGAACCGGCCTACACCGCCGTCCGGAACGAGTTCCGGCGGCGAGTCACCGTTGGCAAGAAACTCACCGTGACAAGCCTTGGAGGGTTTGACACATGCTACACGGTCCCAATAGTTGCACCAACCATAACATTTATGTTCTCCGGCATGAACGTGACACTCCCACCAGAAAACACCCTCATACACAGCACCGCCGGCAGCATCACGTGCTTGGCTATGGCAGCGGCGCCCGACAACGTGAACTCGGTGCTGAACGTGATCGCCAACATGCAACAACAAAACCACCGTGTGCTCTACGACGTGCCCAACTCAAGGCTTGGTGTTGCTCGTGAACTTTGCACCTAATGCATGCATAATAATAAGTGGTTCTAGGTCAAAAAATTTCATGATTTGTGGGAACTATAATAATGATAATAGTGTCGAATTGGCATTGCAAGTTACTCCTATATATATTGGTGTTTGATCTATATATATAATATCGTCATGGGTAGGGTTTTGGCATTGCTAAGAGGTTATCACTTTAACTATATAGTAGAGTCTAAGGCATTGCATGTAAGTTTCGAAGTTTGAAGTTATATTCGTAGTAGTATGAAAAAAGTTGGATTTGAAGCTTTGTAATGGTATGTGTCACGGGTTCATATTTCTGTAGCAACCAATCCCTTGTCTCGTTCATTGAATTCATTGATTTAACTTTGAACGGAAACCGTCACTTTCTTTAAAATATAAGAAAATTGAAGTTTCAACTTGGCGTGCTTCTATGTCATTAACATTGTGCACGGAAGTAGCTAAATTATACGGATAGTAGGTAAATGATCTTCAAACACTCCAAATCAGCATCAAAACTACGTGCAACATTGACCAATTATAAAAATGAAAATGAAAATTAAAGAACGTTCCTTGCACCCACTATGAAAATATAAAAGATAGAACTCGAAACTTATCGTGTCTCACTTTGTTTAAAACTAGAAACAAATTTTGACGTGTCCGTCCAATACAGTCTCACACCTTCATTAAAATATGCATTTACATAATATTGTTGACTATTCTGTACAACTAACGAAATCTTCCACCTTCATTAAAGAATGCATTTATCCACTTTAATTTTTGGGTGTTATTTGTGTCCTTTTGATCAGACACAACAAAACTTCATTGTAGATCCACTTGACCATATTTTATAACATTTAGCAAACGTTTATGTTTCTACTTCCTTTTAAATAACCAAGTTTAGTTCTGGTTGGTGTGGGAAAAAACTTCATTATATATAAGAAGTGATTTACTTGGAAAATATGCAATTAATTAACTTGAGGCAATTATCATCTTCAAGATAATTATATGCTTTTTCCTTCTTTTAATTAACGTTTACATTATTTGGGTGTTATTTATTTTCCTTTATAAATTCGAATATTATTTTAAAAATCATAATTTGTCTTGATTGGTTTGATTCTTTTACTTTAGTCTCCACAAATAAAACCACAAATAAAATAGATTTTATTTTAATCCTTATAAATATATCATTTTCTGATTTTAGTATCAGATGATGTTATAGGTTAACATAACATATTTAATAACGTTACTGAATTGACAATTTTTCTAACATATCATAACATTATTTTAACATGGAGCTCACGACATCGTCGTTAAAACTGTTAAAAAAATAACAAGACTGACAAAATATTAAATAAAAGAAAATCTAACGAAAAAAATAGGAACTAGAATTAAAAATTGAAAAAAAATGAAACCTAAAATCTGAACATTGTTTAAAAAATTTCATTGAAAATACTTGTAGTTATTGTAATTGTTGATCTTTGTTTCTTAAAACTAAAATTACTAGAATTATTAACTATAATAAAAGATAAATTATATGATTTTGTCATTTTATATATCAACTTTAAGTGTGGAATTTTGATTAATAGTGTTGTATTCGATATTAAAGTTAATTATATTTTTTTAAAGGAATAAATTATATTAAATAATTAAACTTTTAATTTTTTTTTTGAGTTTTAAAACTTTTGAACCTGAATTTAACACGTGTACTAGATTTTTTTTTACTCAAATATAAACATCATACCATTGATAAATATTTTCATATAAATAACATATTTAAGTTTATAAATATTATGAAGGGAGTGAGTTTAGATGAAAACCAACTTATTTGTTTCGTATATTATTAATTATTAAGCTACGTTAATTTGTCATGGTAATTATCCTTTTTCCTTTAACAACACTTTAGTTATTATTGAAAAAGATAATATAGCAAAATTATAAAAATATTTACTAACTTCCAACTATAGAATAAAGTTTTTATAAAATATTTTTCAATTTTCAAACCTTAACTCTTTAATAGTGATGGTACGATGCACAGAAGAAGAGAAAATCTTGAAACCCAGAGTATATGTGGTATTTATAGAGAACATTGATTATCTTAGAGTTCTAAACTTCCGTAAAACTTCTAGATAATGGATTTTTGAAAAATGGAGCACTTTATGCAAATTACAGGATTACTGGTAAATAATGGGATAACCATTAGGAACATGCATAACGTATAACATTCTCCTACTTGGTATATTTATTCCATTACACTCTAAAGAGAAACTAAATATATGAATCATGACAGGTCCTCTAATAATGAGTATTATCTCTCATATATTACGATATATTAAATATCTCATAAAATGTTCTTAAGATTAATGAATAAACCTTGTAGACCCAAATTTTGTCCGACCTTACAATAAAATTTAGAAATCTTCCGTTTTGAAGATGGACAAGGCTTCATAGGGCCCCTCGTAGTGTTCATTAGACTCTATTTAAAAAAAGGAGGGTTTTCTTAGAGAATAAAAAAATAAAATTTTGTCAGAGAAGCCAGGACAGCCGTCCCAAATCCCAGACAGTCGTCCCACCTATTTTGCAAGCTCAAGACGGTTGTCCCAAATTCCAGACGGCCGTCCCACCCTCTTTGGTAGCTTGGGACGATCATCCCAAATTTCAGACGGCCGTCCCGCTTGACAAAATTCGGGACGGTCGTCCCGACCTCTTTGGTGAACGAGCCTATAAATAGGACATCAGCCCTCACTATGTTCCACACACTTTCACACTCTTTCACACATTCTCACACCTAGAGACGTTCCTAGACAGTTCTAGGCACCAAGTAGTTTTCTGATAGTCCATTTGGGCAAAAATCGGTTAAGGAAGTCTCCTTTTGAAACATTCGGCTCTCGCCAGTTTAATAATTTTATTGTTCGAGGGAGGAGTGCTTGTGTAGTGGGAGGGGACTACCAAAAAGCGTCATCAAGTTTAAAGATTTATACAAGCTCCCTTCGAAGGTTCTTTTCAATCCCTTGCTCTTTTTATCATTTTTCTTTATGTGCATTAGAAATTAGGTTTATGTAGATATTTAAATAAATATTACAAATAAATACATAAATAGGGTAAAGACATAATTTCTGTAATCTTTAATTTATGAATTAATCCATCATAGGGAACCCGAAAGGGGCGCTGTGGGGTGTTAACACCTTCCCCACGCGTAATTAACTCCCTTACCCGACTCTGGTTATAATGACCAAAGTTGGTTTTTCTTAACCAACACTTTTTTTCTTTCCTTTTTCAATGTTTTCGGTTAAAACATTGGTGACGACTCCATAGAATCCATTTTGCAAAAACCTCACTTTTAAGGTTAGTCCGGTTATCGGGCATCCTAAAAATGATGACCAACTTATTTTACGAAAACGCGAGATCGAACCATCGTGTTACGATCGCTTGCACATTTCGTTCCCTCCCCCCGCGAGGGACGACGACGACAAATGGTAATTCCACTGGGGAAACCTAGAGAGTTTATCCCATTTAGTGATGGATTAATTCAAAAGAAAATAAAAGATTTGAAATTACGCTTTTACTCTTCCTTTTACGAATAACATGTTTTATTTGTACGACTTTAATAACTGTTATATGGTTAGTTCAACAATTGTTTGAAATAAAAATTGTACACAACCATTGCACACAACAGTCTCTTTATACCCGAGTGCATGAGCAATAAATCTTAGGGAGTGGGTGACATGTATGACCGACCGTGATAATGACCATAGTGCCAGCAGGTCGTTGTCGAAAACCACCACTCAAGGTGATAACCCTCCTCTCTCAATCTGTAGGACGTCGACACGGCCTTGAGCCACACAAGATTTGAGGGCTGAGAGACCATATGAACCCTATAATGGGGGCATCTTGGGGACCTGACCTTGGTGAGAACAATTAGAACCTACCTTGACCATGCACTTTTCTACAGGATACCCCTACCTCGTGATTAAACGTCGTTGCTCTATTCATGGATGAGTGAATTGTTTGAGCATATGGTTGTTGCATTTTTTTGTTGCATTAGCTTAGAATAATCATACAATAGCCTAAAAACAAAAAACAAAACAAAACAAAAAACAATAATAACAAAGTATAACAAAATGATTTTGACAAAGTCAAATCATTCATATCCTCATCATTTCAAGAGTGGTAAAATCAAGAGAGAAAATAAATGCATAAGGAAAACATGCATACACATCATCCTAATAAGTCTCTCATGCATAAACACATTCATTTTAGGGGACACTAGGTATCCTTAAGACAAAGGCAAAAGAGACCCAAGTATGTTTGTAACCTTCATACTTGTCAATCTATGATAAGGATGGGACAAGTGTGCTAAGGTGTGGTAACCTTCGTTATACTTGTCAATCCATGATGGGGAAGGAACCATTACACTAAGGTGGGTGTGGTTCTCCGTGAAGCGTAAGCTTTAAGGAGAATACCAAAGCCATTGTCTTAAGACATATCCATCCCATACTAATCATTCATTTAAAAAAACAAAGATAAAAACCCTAATTCATTTGCATTCTAGAAAGTGGTTGGTCTTCTTCCTGTCCTCACCCGTGCGCAAAAAGCCAAGAGGATGGAACAATTGGAAGAGCAAAACCGCGAGCTCATCGCTGAGTTTAATGCCATGAAGGAGTAGATGATGCGGTTAATGAAGCACTTAGAAGAACAAAACCGCAAGCTCACCGCCGAGTTTAATGTTGTGAAGGAGTAGACGACACAATTGATGAAATTAATGCGCCCATAGCACCTCCACAATGAGGGCCCCCACGGTGACCATCGACAACCTCCCCCATCCAGTGTACCATTCAAAAAGTTCGTTCGCAAGAAGAAGGAGGGAAGCATGAGTGCCATCAACCTTGCTACTCCTTCTTCCTCTTCGAGACCAGTTAGGCAGTCACGTAATCAAGAGAGGAAATTCGCTCCCATTCCAACCTCCTATGGGAGTCTGCTGCCAAAGCTGTTAGAAGCCAAACTCCTAGCACGTGTCCCTC